AGGTGTGACCAAAAAACCAAAAATTTTTAAAAATAAAGAAAAATAAAAACCATTAACTGTGGCCAGGTAGATAGCTCTGCAGGTAGGGTTGCCTGTATTGGGACTTCCCCACTTGTGGTCCCTGAGCATCCCCACCAGGTGTGATCGTTAACACTGCAGGTCCCCAACAGTTTTTTTTTTAATTTTACTTTCAAAAGGTTATTCACATTAATTGATTACATTCATTATTCCAACACCAATCCCACCACCTTTACATCTTCCCACTGAAAGATAGCCCCATGACAACTGGGCCCTAGCAAAGCAAGTCCCAGCCCATATCCCGTCCTGCAGCTGCGGCAGGCTAGTGACACCAAGTACCCCCATCTCCTCCCTGCACCTGGAATTCGCCAGATAAGGCCACAAGTCCGGAGAAGGCCTAGTGAGGCATCTCCTTGTCCTGGAATCCACCTAACAAGGTCCAACACCAAGTACCCCCATCTCCTCCTTGCACCTGGAATTCACCAGATAAGGCCACAAGGTCGGAGAAGGCCTAATGAAAAGGCCTGATTGACTGCCCGTTGGGAGGGCCTGGTGACAGGTACAGAAGAGAGTGACTGGTGCTGATGACTTGTTGCAAAATGATTGGCTGCCTGCGTGCAGCATCTAATGTGATAATTCAAATGTATTGGGTGATTTGTGCGCGGGCTTTCTGAAGTGCGCAGGAAGATGCCCTATAAAAAGCCCCCTTTGAAGAGGCTCGGGGCTCTCAGTCACTGACGGTTTGCGGTCATGCTATGAGCCGAGCATGCTCGAATAAACCTCTTGCTTTTGCATGGACTTGGTCTCTCCAAGTTTTTCTTGACAGGTGAGGCTGTCCTGAGCTCGGACCCTAACACCCACCACCGTTATTTCCAATTTTCCCACCACCACTCAAGCCTCCCTGCCACAACAGATGCTAGATAATTTATTTTCTGTTGCTTGTTATGAATATCATGAGATGTCACGCTCTTGGAATTCTAAATTTGTAAATGATTGGGGTCTGGAGACATCTCTGAAGCAACTGAATCCATTCTGAGATTCATTTGTGAGTCTCTGGATCAAGGCCATTAATGTGTTTAATTGGCATCCGGAGGCAGTTTGTGGGCATGACAGCCAGGACCCCGAAGTGGTGGGGAGACAGGAAGGACCAGCCATCAGCCATTCCCTGCTGCCATGTGGCCTGGAGTCTTCAGTCTCTGGTTCCTCGTACCTGGACTTTTCTTCTGGAAGTTTGTGGCCACTGGGGGTTCATTTAGAGGAGGTAGAGAGAGAACACCTGCTCCATCCAAAGTGTTCCAGTGAAATCAACTCGGCACCCATCGACAGTTCTATCTCCTCCATCCCGAATGTGGTTAGTGAAGCATTGCTGGGAGTGCGCCCAACCCCGGTCCCTGGGCACTGCTTAGGAGGGGGGAATCATTAACTTAAGATTGATTCTTAAAGTGTGATTCCCATGCTAGTGCATCACTGTCTCCTGGGGACTTTGGAAAAGTGTGAAATACCCTGCTCACCTCAAACTTAGAGTATTGAAAAAAGTATTGAAATTCAGTTAGATTCCAGTAGTTTGTGTTTCAGCAAGTTCTCCGGGTGATTCTGATGATTGCCAAAAGTTTGAGAGCCTTGGAAGGCATTCTTTCGTATTTCCCAGATTCAGGTACCTGGCCCAGAGCTCAGGAGTAACTAACTCCTGGTTGTGCCTAGGGGACCATAGGTGGTGCTGGGGATTGAATTGAGGTTGACGGCAGCATGCACAGCAAGTGCCTTAACCCCCAAACTATCACTGATACGGTTGAAGTAAACCAGATTTGGGGCGTGAGGGACCACACTTGGTAGTGTTCAGGTCTTACTCCTGGCATTGCGCTCAGGCATCCCCCTGGCAGGTTTGGGGGAACCATACTGAGTGCCAGGGTTCTAACCCAGGTCATCCACATGCAAGACAAACGCCCTACCCATTGTACTATCTCAAGCCCCCAAGTATTTTGAGGCCATGACATAAGGGCATTGGTCAAGGTTTTGGATGTTTTCGTGATGCAGAGGTGAGGGAGCTATACATAAAAAACATGTGGCCGGAACAATAGTATAGGGGGTAGGGCATTTGCCTTGCATGCAGCCGACCCAGGTTCAGTCCCCAGCATTCCATATGCTCTCCCGAGCACCACCAGGAGTGATTCCTGAGTGCAGAGCCAGGAGTAACCCCTGAGCATCACCAGGTATGACCCAAAAAACAAAAAAAGAAAAAAAATCATTAAATTCAGCACTCTGTAAGCATGTGGCCCAAACTATAATAAGTAAATTAAACAAAGCATGAGTTTGCAAAGTAGGGTGGAGAAAGGGAGATCCTTGGGTCATTGTTTAGTGTAGGAATGTTGACACTGGAGGGGAGTTTGGAGGTAACATTTCATATTGCCTTAAACTCTGTTATTAATAGTTTTATAAATCACAATGTATGAATTAAAATTTTTTTCACCAGTAATTATTGAATTGGGTTTAATTACCTGAGACCTATGTTACTACTTTTACTGTTTAAAAATGAACATATTTTTTTGTACATTACTATGGTCTTTAAGGGAGAATTAAGGAAATTGAAGGCAGTTCTTTATTGACTGTGAATGAGGGAAGAGTGCAAAATATAAGTGTAGCACAGTGATAAGCATACAAACGTGTTTTCTTTCAGTGCTAGATGTATTTCTATGTTTGATAAATACAAGGTCAACAGATTTTTTCAACTAAAAACTTGGGCCTGCTTAGGTTGTATACCAAAGAACAAAACAGTACCATTATAGCATGAAAGGCATCATGTCTTCTCATCAATGTAGCTGACTCTTTTAACGATCATCTTCCTAGTTATAATTACTAACTGCTAAAACATGGAGCCTTAATCTCTTCTCCGTTTGTTTTCAGGAAACTGCAACTATCATTATGTCATTTCCCCTTTGTCTTGAAAAAACAGGTTAGGTCTGATTAGAATATAGTTTATTTATTTACTGCAGGTAATGCAGTATTTCTTTTTTCCTGTTCTCAGTGGCTTTTTGGTACTCTTAAAGTTTGTTTTAAAAACCTTTGAAAGAAGAACTTGTGATAAATTTGATTAGACCCATGAAAATGTAGAATCAGGGATAACAAAGACTTAAATTAACTTAAAAGTTAATTGACCACTTGTAGCTCCATTAACAGTAACTTTAAATGAGCTGAAACTCACAGAAACATCAGCACATCACTAAACCTGGGGCTTAACTCTTGTCTGGCTCTTGTTTCCAAGTCAAGAGAAGCTGACTTGGAAGTTTGTTGGGAAGATTGCCAGTTGTTGATAGAATTTGGGGGTTGGGGATTGGAGGTAGGAGGCACACCCAGGAGTGCTCAGGGGTTACTCCTGGCTCTATTCTCGGGAATTTCTCACAGGGGACCATATGGGGTACCAGGGATCAAACCTGGGTCGGCCGCTTGCAAGGCAAATGCCCTACCCGCTGTGCTATCATTCTGGCTTCTAGATTTTTCTTTGTTAAGTAAAAGTTTTATTCAGGAAATAAAGGGAGGAAAACAGGGCTCAAGATAGGAGAGAACACAGGCTTCTCTGGAGTGGAAGAACCCTCTTAATAGCGGTTTATAGGAAAAGGGACTTGGAGTTTATATAGTTATCAAAAGATGATGGAGAGACTAGAGAGATTGTACAGTGCACAGAACATTTACCTGGCTTGTAACTGACCCAGGTGTGACCCTCGAAACACCTTTTGGCCCACGAGCCCCACCAGGATACCAGGAGTGATCCCTGTGTGCCGTCAGGAAGAAGTCCTGAGCATAGCTGAGTGTGACCAAAAAACCTAAATTAAAACAGTGCTTTTTACACGTCCCTTCTCTTTCCACATCCCCCACCCTAAATCGTTATATTCCTGCAACCCACCTGATTTGTTTCTGAGGGAGTACACCTTTTGGTGCTTGTGGCTGCTATGTGCTTAGGATGCTACTGAGAGGAATTTGCGGTGCTGGGGATCAAACCCAGCCTCCTGCATGCACACGGTGACTCAGGCCATTCACAGAGTGCTCACTTTGCTCCACGGCTCACCTGCTGTATTCAAGTGAACCTGAGGTTTAAGTCTGTTGATACAAACAAAAATGAGACTTGCTTATAGCGGGAATGACAAAGTACAGGTAAAACTTCACTGCCTGCAAAATAGGTTGGTGTTAATAGAATGGAAGCTAATACATTTTGTCTTAAAAATAAACTCCTGGGCTGAGGAGCTAGTTCAGCAGGCCAGGTGCTTGCCTTGTACATAATCAGCCCAGGCTGGATCCAACACCCCTTGGTTCCCGGAGCCCCACCATGAGTGATCTCTGAGCACAGAGTCACTGCTGGATGTGAGCACTGCTGGGTGTGACCTCCCTCCCTCAAAAACGAGAATCTGCTGACGATACTTCTCTTTAAAATTATCTTTTCTCACCAGATAAAATTGCAAATGTTTTCATCGTTGTTTAGAGACGGTAGAAAACGTTTAATATCTTTGACAGAACTGACAAAATTTTTTCCCTGGCTGTTAGTCTGAAATTCAGTAAGTACATTTTTATGGAAAGTTATGAACGAGTAGCAGCTGCAGAGCTTCCCTGCATTGAGTTATTCTAAAAAAATTTTTTTTTTTGTTTCTTCCCCCCTCCACCTTTTTTTTTTTTTAATATACCATTTAGAAAATATCTTTTGGGGCTGGAGCGATAGCACAGCAGGTAGGGCATTTGCCTTGCACGCAGCTGACCCGGGCTTGATTCCCAGCATCCCATATGATCCCCCGAGCACCACCAGGAGTAATTCCTGAGTACAAAGCCAGGAGTAACCCATGTGCATCACCGGGTGTCACCCCAAAAAAAAGAAGAAGAAGAAGAAAATATCTTTGTAGCTAAAGAACTACGGGTGATACTCTCTAGAATGCAGACCTGCTTTAATCAATAGTGGCCTGTCTTTCTCACTTTGCTGATTGTGTGTTTGTGACCCTTAGATTATAGGGAATGGAAGTGAGCAGCAGCTACAGAAAGAGTTAGCAGATGTGCTGATGGATCCTCCAGTGGACGACCAGCCGGGGGACAAGGAGCTTGTGGACAGGTCCCAGCTGGATGGCGAAGGAGATGGCCCTCTTCCTGACCAGCTCTCAGCGTCCTCCACCATCAACCCTGTGCCACTAGTCGGGCTCCAGAAGCCAGAGATGAGCCTGCCGGTGAAATCTGGACAAGGAGGTTAGGATTGCTGCCTTGCTTGCGTAACTGAAAGGTTATTGTTTTTCATATTTGAGTGTCCATCTTGTGCTAGCTTTCATTCAGAGCAAGCCCAGAAACTGTTCTGCCTGTCTCCTAGGATCTTCAGGTTCTCCGTTAGGGAAATGTTAGAAATAAATACATTGTCCGTTCTGATTTCCCCTTAAATCGTTGTCATTTTTACCAAAGAATGTGAAACAGTAGTTCAATGATGTCAAGAAAGTTTTTTAAATGAGTGTAGCGATTTTTGCAGGAAAGACAGAATTTGAGTGAAGTCAAAGAAAGAGAGGGAAATAAATGACTGATAAAGATAAGTTTGCTCCATGCCTTACTCAGTGCCACATGATGGGAAGTTTCCCTCATCAGAGCTCTTTTAATGCTTTTTGCGAAACTGGTTTCAACAGCTATGAATTTCCTAAGCTGTTATCTGTCCATGAAACTCTGTATCATTGCTTCAGATATTTATGATAATCTAGCTGGAGAAAGAAAAAAAAGATGTTTGCTCCAGACCTGTATTGTTCCATGGGAATAATTACCAGTTTGAAAAAGGAAGGTGAAAGATTTATCAGAAGAGGTGGAAGAGGGCAGTTTTAAAAGCTCACTGGGGCAAAAAAAAAAAATTAGGATATAAAGCTGTAGATACTCACTACATAGTCTTGATAGTCTTGGGAGAACAATACATCAGTAGGATCATGAAAGAAATAATTATAGCAGTGCAGATCAGAACTAAGTTTACAGACATTTCTTAAAGCGCTAAAATACTAAGTGTAGTTTTTCCTCTAAATGTAAATTACAACATCAAAATAAATTAGAAAAGGCAGATAAATCTAGGGGCTGGAGCAATAATAGCACAGCGGGTAGGGCGTTTGCCTTGCACATGGCCAACCCTGTTGTAATTCCCAGCATCCCTATATGGTACCCTGAGCACCGCCCGGAGTAACCCCTTAGCATTGCCATGTGTGACCCAAAAAGCAAAATACAAAACAAACAAAAAAAAGGCAGATAAATCTAAATCTCAAATTTGATTCGGGATTGGCACTATAGCAGAACCTAAAATTTCTGGCTTCACAGAGTCCTGATGTGAAATTTCGGTTTACAGTGGAAATTTTGTCTGGGGCATTGGCATATGAGCTCATTAAGACTTAATTTTGCAGGGGTGGGGAGGAGGAGGGATACTGGGATCAGTGGTGGTGGGGAATGGGCACTGGTAGAGGGATGGGTACTCGATCATTGTATGTTGTATGACTGAAACCCAAGCACAAAAATTTGTAAGTCTACAACTGTACCTCATGGTGTTTCACTAATTTAAAAAAAAAAAAGACTAAATTTTGAAGTTCAATGTCGCACCTCGAAGTTTACTTGGTACTCATACCAATAAAATATCCAAAGGAAAATATCCATCTCTTCTGTGTCTTTTTCAGATTCTGAAGAGTCAAGCCCTTTCACACCAGTGGCTGATGAGGACAGTGTAGTTTTCAGTAAACTGACTTATTTAGGCTGTGCCTCAGTGAATGCCCCTAGGAGTGAAGTCGAAGCCTTGAGGATGATGTCCATCTTGAGAAGCCAGTTACAGATTTCACTCGATGTGACCTTGTCGGTGCCGAATGTGTCAGAAGGAACTGTGAGGTAAGACCAGCTTCTAGAAGTGGTTGTAACATTTGATTCAGTTGCTTTCATTTGTTGGATTTTGAGCCACCTAGCTATGATACTCAGGACTTACTCCTCCTGGATCTGTACTCAGGGGTCACTCTTGGCACGGCTCGGGAGCATGTGTAACGCTTGCAATTGAATTCAGGTCAGCTGGCTGAGGACAAGGCTAGCACCCTGCCCCGCTTACTGTCTCAAGCAGAAAATTTTGATAAAAATTTCTCTACTTGGAAAGGCGAGTAGTGAAAATCAAAATATTCTTGCTCTCATGCAATAATAAATGTGACATTTCTGTCATGCCATTCAAAAATGGTGACCCTTATGAAAATGGCAACCCAACTGAGCAATTCTTGTTCTGTTTTCTTAGTTTTGGCCGTACACAGCTGTGCTTCCTGGCTTAGTCCTGGCTTTGTGCTCAGGAGTCACTCCTGGCCAGCCTCGAACCTGGGTTGGGCTGTGTGCAAGGCAAGCACTTGCCTTACCTGCTCTAATGATACGCTTTTCCCACCCCAGTCCTCCATAGAAATGTTTTGGGATTATTTAAAATAATCCCAAAATGCTGTACTGTCTGCCTTAACAAAGTTTTATTTACTGTGTTCCCCAGCATGAATACTAACTTGACATGTAGATTCAATACAGAGTTTCTTCCTTTTTCATTCTACTCATTTTGTTGGGGAGTGGTTTGGACCATATGTGGCTTCTCCTCCCAGCACAATGCTTGTGGGACCATATTGTGCAAATCCAGTGCGAAGCATGCATTCCAGCACCCAGCCCTTTGAATCAGCTCCCCAGTTCTCTGCAGGTTTTTTGTTTGTCTTTTTTAATGGAAGAAATGGAGGAGTTGAGGTCATACCCAGCAGTGCCTCAGTCTGAGCATTTACTCCTTTTTTTTTTCTTTTTGGGTCACACCCAGGAATGCACAGGGATTACTCCTGGCTTTGCACTCAGGAATTGCTCCCGGGTGGTGCTCAGGGCACTGTATGGGATGCTGGGAATCAAACCCAGGTTGGCTGCGTGCAAGGCAGATGCCCTACCCGCTGTACTGTTGCTCCAGATCCAGCATTTACTCCTTGCTCAATGCTCATGGGTCACTCCTAAAAAGGCTTGGGGACCATATTGGTTGCTGGGGATGAATCCAGGCCAGCCGCATTCAAGGCAGGTGCCCTACCCAGTGTACTGTCACACTGGTCCCTCTGCAGTTTCTTTATAATAACTTGGAAATTATCAAAACTTACTAGTATTTTTTTTTCTTTTTGGGAAACACCCAGCAATGCTCAGGGGTTACTCCTGACTCTGCACTCAGGCATCACTCCTGGTAATGTTTAGGGAACCATATAGGATGCCGGGGGGTAAACCCGGGTCGACTGCGTAAGGCAAATGCCCTACGTGCTGTACTATTACTCTATCTCGTTACTAATAAATATTAATTATTCAAGTACAGCCTCTTAATTTTTACCCAAAAAAGTTTGTGGGTCATCCCCAGCAGTGCTCGGAAGCAAAGGACAATTCTTAGTGATTTTTGGTCTGGTGATACAGGCCTGGAGATTCAGTACTTGGATTCGGCAGTGCCAGAACTCACACTCAGGGCCTCACACATACTAGGCATGTGCTCCAGGTCTCTGACCTGCCTCCCAACCTGGTCCCCAAATGTTTTTGTTTGTTTGGTTTTGGTTTTGGGTTTTGGGCCACTCCTGGGCAGGGAATCATCCATGGTGGCGGGGATCGAACCCAAGTCAGCCACACTGACTAATCCTGTGGCCTCGCCCTCATTTTTTTTTTAATTAAAAAAGTTTATAGGAGATGGAGCGATAGCACAGCAGGTAGGGCATTTGCCTCGCACGCGAGTTCAATTCCCAGCATCCCATATGGTCCCCTGAGCACCGCCAGGAGTAATTCCTGAGTGCATGTGCTAGGAGTAACCCCTGTGCATCGCCAGGTGTGGCCCAAAAAGCAAAAAACCAGAAAAGTTTATGTTGCTCTCAGGGAGTACTAGAGATAAGGAAATGATCATTTCCAAACACTTCCTCCTGGAGGTTGCTCATTTGTGAGAATTTATAGGTGTTAGGGGTTTCTGCGAGCTTGGAATGTAAGGGAACTGGGTAGTTTGCCCGCGGTTGTATTTTTTATTACCTGTGTGAGGGTCAGAGCATAGCACACGCCACCATGTGCCCGGCAACAGTAGGTCTGTTTCTGCCAAGCAGCGATAGTATTGAATTGTGATTTGCAGGAGGTCAGCCACGCGGCTGGAGCAGTGGGAGAACGGGCTGGATGTTTGCGTTGTACATGGTCGACCCAGGTTTGATCCCCAGCATCCCATATGGTCTTTGCACAATGCCAGGAGCAATTCCTGAGTGCAGAACCAGGAGTAACCCCTGAGCATCGCTGGGTGTGACCCAAAAGCCATAAATAAGTAAATGGAATACTCTGGGGGGGCGGGGGGTAGAAGGTCAGTCTCAGGTAGATTCTGCTTGTGTTCCCTCTGCCCTATCTCTCCGGCCCAGGAAAGAGGTGCTGCTGCTGATCAGTGCAGTTAAAATTTTGGTGTATTGAGCCCCTCTGTGTGTTGTGTGTGTTTATGCATCTGTGTGCCTACACATACAACTCAGAATTGTTTTTCTTTGTTGGTAATGGGAGCCTTTTGTTTGGGGGCCACTCCTGGCAGTGCTCAGGGAGCCATACATGGTGACGGGGATTGAACCCATGTCAGCCACCTCCAAGGCAAATGCTTTCCCCTCTGACCTAATGCTGTGGCCTCCCACTAATTTTTTTTTTTTTCACTTAAAAAAGTTGGTATTACTCTGAGAGAGTACTAGAGATCGGTCGGGAATTTCTCGTTTCCAAACACATGCTTCTGGAAGTTGCTGATTTGTAAGAATATCAGTATTAGGGGTTAACACCAGAGGTGTTTGGGGGACATGGGGTGCCCCCTGAAAGCCAGTGTCATGCTCATGCCAATCATGTGCTCTAACTCCAGGCTGTCACCCTGTCCCTAAATCCACCAAGTCATACATGCCAGCTTGGTCAGCTTCTCCTAATCAGGGCTTTAGAAACTTTTATCATGATGGCGCATGAAGGATCATTTAGCACTGACCCATCTCTTAAATTATTTAATAAATTAAATTAAATTATGTCATTCTAGGGGATCATGCCCATCAGGAGTTGCTCCAGGCTCCTGGAATGCTCAGAGGTTGCTCCTGGTTGGTGCTCAGATGTCCACGTAGTGCTGAGCCCTGTACAGGACCTGGGCCTCGTGCCTGTGAAGTGTGTGCTCTGCCCCCTGAGCCATTTCTCTGGCCCTGTGGTAGTTCTGGTAGCATTTGTTTCACTGGCTTTTATTTGCTGGAGGGCGGGGGAACATGCATCAGCACTTGGGCATTTCTGATTCTGTGTTCAAGGTTCCTCCTGGCGGTGCTTGCGAGAGGATCATACATGGTACTGGTATCTGGCTGGAACTGGCCACGCACTAAGAAAGAACCTTAATTTTTGTCCTTGCAGCCAGATCTTAGGGATTTTTGTCTGGTTTTTGGCTTTGGGGCCACACCTGGCAGTGCTCAGTGCTTCTCCTGGCTCTGCACTCAGGGATCCCTCTCGGCAGATGTGCAGAATCATCGAGGGGGTGCAGGGGGTTGAATCTTGTGCAAGGCAAGCACTCTACCTACTGTAGCCACTCTACTACTGCTGCAGTCCTGATTGTAGGTATATTTTTAACGAAAAAGGAGCTAAGAGAGATGGTGTAGGGATAAAGAGCGTGCCTTGCACGCAGCACAGCAATGAGTGACCACCGAACGAGGAGCCAAGAATCAGCCCTGTGCGAGGCAAAAGCCTTACCCATTGTATTACCACTTCAGTCCTCCAAAGAGAAGCTCCATCTTAATGACCTGGATTCGCAGTCTAATAAACCATTGGTTTGGTCTTTCGTTGTTAGGAATATAACTAAGATACTATGTCCTTCTGCTGTTCTTTATGCTTTCCTGTTTACCGCCCCAAACATGAGATGATGTGGTCTTTCATACCTTAGCGTTGTGTAATCAATAGCATAAGGAATTCACATGGCTTTTTGTCAAGACCTAACAGGATTAACATACCAAAAATGACTTGTATGATCTTGTTAAGAAGATGAAAGCTGTGTCTTTAATCATAGCATAGGTAAAGTGAAAATATTCTGTAATTCTTCTAATCACTGTACTGTTCTTTTCTTTTTTTTTTCTTTGTCTGAACAGACTCTTAGATCCTCAGACAAACACTGAAATAGCAAACTACCCTATCTACAAAATCCTCTTCTGTGTCAGAGGGCATGATGGAACTCCCGAGAGTGACTGTTTTGCTTTCACCGAAAGTCACTACAATGCAGAACTTTTCAGAATACATGTCTTCCGGTGTGAAATACAAGAAGCTGTAAGTCCCTGAGCGAAAACTGCCCAGAGATGAATCTCCGCCTGTTCCCTTGTTCCTTCACTGTGATGAAACAGTATTAGTATTTATTACGACACACGTGTTATCCAAATGAAATTTCCTGCTAGCGCTTCATTTATCTCAGCTAATGGACATAAAATATAGATATGTATATATAAAGTTTGGTTAACCAGAGCCTCATTGTTGCTAAAAGGTCAGAGCAGGCCAGGGACTGCTTCTTGATTGGATTAGGTGGGCATCTTGCTTCCAGCAGTGGGACTTTTGCAAATTGCTTTTTTTTTTCTACTTTTTTTTTTTAATTTTAGTACCATGTATTTGGCAGAATAGCAGTGTAGACTGGAAAAGATGATCCCAATTATTTTTTTGTTTGTTTGTTTTTTTAGTTCTTGTTATTGAAGATATTTTGTTTTGTTTTAATGAATCACTGTGAGATACAGTTACAGACTTACAAACTTTCCTGATTACATTTCAGTCATACAATGTTCGACACCCATCCCTCCACCAGAGCCCATTCTCCACCACCAATGTTCCCAGTGTCCCTCCCGCTACCCCCACCCCATTCTTCATTCCTTCCTCCCCATCCCCACCCCATTCCTCCCCCACCTCTGTGGTCGGCCCATTCTCTTTTACCCTCTCTCCTTTTAGGTGTTATGGTTTGCTATGTGGGTACTAAGTGGCCATCATATTGGGTCCATAGTCTACTTTCAACATGACCCCAATTATTTCCCACATTTTCCTCCCAATTTTTTCCTTAAAGTCAGTAAACATTTTCTAGCCACTCACACTTTAAAGTAACCCATGTTTCCTCTTTTTTTTTTTTTTTTTTCAGTCTGTTGCATTAAACAGTCAGATTTTCTGGGCTGATTGTTTCCTAAAGGATGCAGGGTTTAGATCTGGAGCTACTATTTTTTTTCCATATTTTTTATTGGAATAAATCAATAATAATGAATAATAATCAATAATAATGAATAAATAAATTGCTAACAATCTAGTGAGTCACTTTTCAGTTGAATTTATAGTTCTTGCAAACATTCATTGAAAAGAATTCTTTCTGGCTATTTCTAGCATGGCTTGATAATAGGCACTAATCCACTGGATATTTTATACCCCTCCCCCCCAAAAAAAATCAGTAGGGAAAAGATCGGTTACTTTCCATAACCAAGTTAGACTTAAGAAAGTCTTCTGCTTCCGTGATAACCACCCTTTCCTAACACGTCTGGTTGCAGGTGAGCCGGATACTCTATAGTTTTGCCACTGCCTTCCGCCGTTCTGCCAAGCAGACCCCACTTTCAGCCACAGCTGCACCCCAGACTCCTGACAGCGACATCTTTACCTTCTCTGTGTCTTTAGAAATAAAAGAAGATGATGGTAAAGGTTATTTTAGGTAGGGCGTCTTGTTTTTATTCATTTTCTTTGAGCTTTTAACTAACATGCAGTATTTTTTATGATACACTGAAACTTTTACATCAGATGATATAACTTCTGTTTATTTGGGGAGGTTGTTTTTGGGGGGCGGTTTTTGTTTGTTTGTTTTTTGTTTTGAGGCGGCACCCAGTAGTGCTCGGGGCTAACTCCTGGCTCTGTGCTCACGGATCATTCCTGCCAGTTCTTGGGGGATTACAGTGATGAAACCTGGGTGAAACCTGGGTCGACCACATGCAAGGCAAGCGCCCTCCCACTATACTATTGCTCCGGCCCAGATTAAATAATTTTTTACTATACAGTGATTACTTTCATAGGTAGAGGTTTTTGGTTTTGGTTTTGGTTTTGGTTTTTTTTTGGGTTTTTTTTGTTTTTTTGGTTCACACCCGGCAATGTACAGGGATTACTCCTGTCTCTGCACTCAGGAATTACTCCTGGCAGTGCTTAGGGGACCAGATGGGATGCTGGGAATTGAACCCAGGTTGGCCGCATACAAGGCAAATGCCCTACCCGCTGTGCTATCACTCCATCCCCTTGTTTTGTTTTTATGGTAAATGATTAGAAAGGAAATAGGCAAGATTTGAAATTCTTTCGTGTGAGAAAATATATTATGGTCTGTGTCCAGAGTCTAATACCATTGCATAAAGGAGGGATCCGATAATCATACATTTTGGTTTTTAAGTAAACTAATACTTTTTTAAGTGGCGCAGAGGACCTTGGAGTAGAAATAAAAGCTTTAACTATTGCTACTATCGGCAGGGTCACATTTACCAAGTTTATTTAGTTTTATCTTTAGTTTCCTCTTCTGGGTGCAGTTTCTTGTTTACACATTGAGGCTGCTGCAGTCAAACCTTTTCTAACCTATAAGGCACTTGCCTTGCATGTGGCTGAACTGGGTTCAACCACTGGCATCCCATACAGCTCCTAGATCTCCCCCAAGAATGTTCCCTGAGGGAAGAGCCAGGAGTAAGCCCTGAGCACCACTCTGTGAGGCCCCAGAACAAAACAAAAGATGTAGCTGCAGGCCAGGAATAAGACTCCCTTGTAAAGACCCTGCCTGGAACTTGCTGGGGCCCTGAGTTCAATCCTTGGCACCAGAAGCCTCCCCAGCTCTGCCAGGTGGAGCCCCGTAGGTTCCAGTTCTGGCCAGCACTTGCAGGCCATGCATATTTGGGAGTGGGCCTTGAAATAAATATATAGGGGCCTGGGCGAGAGGGATGAGGGAGGGTGGTTCTTCAGCTCTTGAAGTCATGCCTAGCCACATGAAGCCCCAAGTTCAGCTCCCTTTGCTGAACGGCCCTTTGATGGACCTCGGGGTAAGGCACATATCTGAGAGGTGACTGATCTTTTTCTCCCTTCTAGTACCTGTCCCAAAACTGTTCTTTGTTGGGGAACAGTCATCCCCACAACGGTGCCTGGACATGTTGGCACTGGGTCCGGGCAGACGTGGGGTGAAGGATGACGGGAGCTCAGAGAAACACCCTCCGGGAGCAGCTGATGGCTGTTCACCTTATTGCCCAATACACACGTGTATTATAGAGGGTCTCGGCTTACAAGAAAATCCAATCACATAAAGTTCAGCAGTTTTGGCCTATCACCTCTCCAACTCTCCTTTGCCCTGGTCCAATCCCAAACAAGGCTAGATGCTACAGCTAGGATGACTTGCTAAGCATACGTGACAGTTTCTGTGTCTAGGGCTCATGTGAGTAGGAGGTCGAGTGAGGCTCAAGGCGGAACACCTGGTGCTGGCTGACAGCCTATTCTTGCCAGCTTTGCCCAGATACTCCCTCTTGCGAGGCTTCGCATCTGGGTCGCTTTGCAAGGTCGAGTCTTATCTCCTCTAATACCCGTCACCATGCTCCACAGTTCTGCAGATCATAATCAGTAATTTCTGATGGAATCACTTCCCTCCATGATTACCTCAAGTGGTTACAATAAAATTATATGGAATGAAAATGAGTTCTAATATTTTGCTTTTAAATTAAAAGACACCAATTAAAAATGAACTAACGGTTCATTGTTTGGAAAACTGATAGCCCTCGGTCTTCTTTCAAAGGCTTTGGAAGCGTCAAGCCTTGTGGTATAAATTGGCCAAATTAGTGTGCGTTATGGGTCCAGTTTTGGACTGCACAGAATTGTGCTCTCTGCTCTCTCATTACCTGTGTTTTCCATCTCACACAGGACTCAGAACCCTCTTGCAGTTTGCGTTCCCACCTGGGAAAGTAGTATCTATAATTATAAAAAAAAATTTTTTTGCTCTTGAAGAAACTCAAAAATTATATTTTTCCCTTCTGCACATTCTGGTTCTAAGCATCAGTTACGAGTAGGAAAGATTTCTAAACTGTCTCAGAGCAGGTAACTACTCTGCCATCTGAGTTCAGGCATATTGGAAGTAGTATAATCAGATTCACAAACATCCCTGTTCTGTTTACCCGTGGGCCATGGAAGAAAGCCACATTTGTTTTTCACATTTGTTATGGCTTTGTTCTCTTTGTTGAGTGGTTTGCTGACTTTAGAGTTTATAATAGAAAATAGGGTGGTGTGACCTAATGCTGTGATGGAAACGTTGAAGCGTATACCTTGATTTGTTGGATTTGGACTTGGCAAGCAAAGTTCCTTTTATCTATTGGCTGATATGTTAGGAATTTATCTGCAGAAATAATCACAGAGGTGCTCCAAGAGCTGTCAACATGAATGGTCTACTTAACATTATGTATAATAGCAAGTTTTAAAAAGCATTTGGAGGGACTTAAGAAGCCACTTGTCTTGCACGCACCTGACCTAGGTTTACTCCCTGGCCTCACATACTGTCCCCTGAGCACCAGCATGAGTGATTCCTGAGTGCAGAGTCAAGAATAAGCCCTGAGCACTACTGGGCGTGGCCCAAAAGGCAAAACAAAACAAAGAAGTGATCTGGCTGAGAGAGCGGGCCCTTTTGCACACAGCTGTCCCTGGTTAACCCCCCAACCCCACGGATTTCTCTTAAGTATCACCAGGATTGCTGAGCCCAGAACCGGGAGCAGCCCCTGCATTTGGCCAAATATGCCCCACCACCAAAAAGAAAAAAGGAGTGGTAATTATTGACCATAATAGTTAACTGAAATATAACAGTGTCTAAAAGACTTACCACCCCTTAGAGATACGCATACATGTACTTAAATGTAGCTCATAGTATTGTGCCATAAAATGTACATAGCTATGGGCCGGAGTGATAGTACAGCAGCTAGGGCATTTGCCTTGCATGCGGCCAGCCCGGGTTCGATTCCCAGCATCCCATATGGTCCCGCAAGCACCGACGGAAGTAATTTCTGAGTGCATCAGCCAGAAGTAACCCCTGAGCATCGCTGGGTGTGACCCAAAAAGAAAAAAAGGAAAAGAGAAAAATACATTCCTTCATTATTATTGTCCGGAACCTAGCTCTTGAAAGATAGAATGTTTTTCATTTACACCATTCAGAGCTGCGATTTTTTTTTTTCTTAGAATCTGCTAACTAGTTTCATGAGATGAGTTGATATTTTTTATAGGCCTGACTTTATTGCTTAAAAATAATATCCCAGGGATAGAAAGCCTATACCTCAGTTTATTCGGGAGGAATTAAAAGTAAAATTACTTAGCTGTGTTCAGTGATAACTGCCATTTCCGTAAAAAGTTCAGATAAATAAGTCACTGGCTGAAAAGTTACAACAGAAGCCATTCCAACTTTACATACAACAGAAAAAGTCAGTCACTCAGAGGCTCTTCATGCTGTGCTGTTGCTCTGTTGCTGTTTTAAATAAAGCTGAAAAAGAACATTATATTTATTGGGGGGAGGAGTGGGGGTGGGCTCAAAGGTGGTTTTTTGTTTGTTTGTTTGTTTGTTTGCATTACACCCAGCGATGCTCAGGGGTTACTCCTGGCTCTGCACTCAGGAATTACTCCTGGCGGTGCTGGGGCGACCATATGTATGCCTGGGATTGAACCCAGGTCAGCCGAGTGCAAGACAAATGCCCTACCTGCTGTACTCACTCTGGTCCCCAGGGTTTTTTTTTTTTTTTCCTGCAAAATAGTGAGATTTTTGTTTAAATCCATGCTTATGGTCCTTTTTTAAAAAATTTTTTTAAATTAATTGTTGTAGCCAAGATTACATGTTTACAGTAGTGTTAATTGTTGATGCTCTTTTGATGCTCTTCTGCACAGTTACTGTACTTCTATCATCCCCAAGTGCCCACACCCCTCCTTGGCCCTTCTGATACTTCTCTCCCTCTTTCCTGCCCACCCTGCCTCCTTCCAGTGGACCAAGGGCTTCTAACCTCTTCCCTTATTGTTGTCTCTCTCCCTGTTGGGCTTGCACCATGCCCAGAAGTCTCAGGAGCTACTCTGAGCTCTGTGTAGGTCGGGGGGAGCTGTCAAGAGAGCGGGGTGATTACTCATGAGACGGTTTCAAAGGATGAACACAGTACTGAGGATTGAACTGGGATAGCTACATGCAAGACTAGTGCCTTCACCCTTGTACTCTCTCTCTGGCCCACGATTTTATTTTAATAAGCACCCCTAGAACAGACAGACTAGTATGTGTCTGTTATCATTTGAAAAGTCAGATGCTCCATTTCATCATAGGTAAAAATTTCATCAGCCTCAATTTTAGGTTTGACGTGCAAAGTTTTTCTTTGCATGTTTGTAATTTTCATTGCTAATATCTTTTATCTATTTTTTTTTTGGTGGGGGGACACACCCAGTGGTGCTCAGGGCTTACTCCTGGCTATGTGCTCAAGGATCACTCCTGACAGGACTCAGGGGACCATATGGGATGCTGAGGATCAAACCCAAGAGTTGGCCATGTGCAGGCAAATGCCCTACCCACTGCACTATTGCTCCAGCCCAGTCTGATTCTTGGGGGGGTGGGGGATGGGCAGCACAGCCAGTGGTACTCAGGTCTTATTACTGGCTCTGCACTCAGGAATTAGTTTTAGCAGAGCTTAGGGAACCATACGGGATGCTGGGGATTGAACCTAGATCGTCCGCTTGCAAGGCAAGCACCCTACCCGCTGTATTATCACTCCAGCATCCTGTTCTCATTTGTGTGGTATAGTCTAAGTTGTTTACTATGTAACTGGACTTTAGCCCAGTTTTATTTCTTCAGACCTGCTTTTTGGGAATGCTATCCAGCTTGGGCTACACATTACAGTGTCACGGCATAATCTTGGATCTTTGCTCAGGAGTCACTTTTGATGGTGCTTGGGGCACTGTTTATGATGCCAGATTTGAACCGGGGTCAGCTGCATGCAAGGCAGAAAGGGCTTTAGCACTCAGACTGTCTTTCCATCCCCAGAGCTACTTTCAAATTTAAATTGGTAGTCAGAACCTTCATGTAACCCTTTATAATATATTCTATCAGAAATTCAGTACTGTTACAGTAAGCTTGTACAGAAGTAAGACACGGTTTAGATTTGCTGCGTAAGGACATAACTGCCATAGACAGACATTTGCGTTTGAGAATAAGACAGAGAAGGTGGTAGGTGGCAGAATGGAATCTTATTTGGGTAGTTGTATTTTAAGAATATTTTGACTTTCACAAATTGTTTGGTGAGGCTATTGTTTCTTAAGCGTTCAGCAGCGGCACCCTCTTTACCATTTTGTCTGTAATTCCTGTTTCTTTGAGGATACCTTGTTTCAGCATCCAGAGGAACTGATCCAGGTAGTTTCTTTGTTAGAAGGTGGTCATTTATTTGTGAAAAACTAATGACTAAATAATTGAAAACTGACTTTTTTTTTGGTGTGTGCTAGTAGGTTAGATGCTCTTACTAGGTACTTGACAAATAAGAAGTTCTACTTTTAGCTAAAGATTTTTAATTTATTAAATTATTTTAATAAGGTGATTTTTATTTGCAGTTTGATTTTCACAATAGCAAAAGCAGTACATTTAAATCCATGCTTTAGGAGAAAATATATATTATTAATTGGATTACACACAGTAAGGATTGTATGCTCACCTCGTGGGGTAGGTAACAATCTATATCTTTATATGATTTTTTTGTTTGTTTGATTTGGGGGGCCATACCCAGCAGTGTTCAAGACTTACTCCTGGTTTTGTGCTCAGGAACCCACTCCTGGTGGTGCTCAGGACTGTATGTAATACCAAGGATTGAACCGGGGATCTCACCAGGGTTGACCGCATACAAGGCCAGCCCCTTAATCCTTATACTATCCTTATTTTAATTTGACTCTTTAATAGGTTTCTGAGGTCAAATTTGTGAAGCTTGTCATCATCCACTAAGCTACCATCTTCCTCTAAGCTACCATCCCCATTAGTATCTGAGAAACAGGCACAATAAAATCAAAACCTGTAATTCTCTTCAAGTCATAGCAAAATTTTGCTCTAGTATCGAGGTCCCCAGATTTATTTGGCCCACTTGCCTTTTTCAGGGGGTAAAAAAAAATCTCTTAGCCCCTCTCTGGAAAAGAGTAAGTTGGAAGTGTTCCCCAGTTGCAACCAAAGTTGCTTCCGCACCCGTGAATGATTCTAGTGCCCTCCAGTGGGTGGTATCGCCCGCTCTGGGAAATGCTGCCTTGGTGTATGTCCCAGAAGATACTTTGCAAAATTAATGAAATGTATTGTTCTACAGTGCAGTTCCTAAAGATAAGGACAGACAATGCTTTAAATTGCGCCAAGGAATTGATAAGAAGATTGTTATCTATGTGCAGCAAACAACTAATAAAGAACTGGCTATTGAAAGGTAAATATTTGCAAAATGTGTTTGTGGATTATTTTGTTCATACGGAATTTTGGGGGTTATAGTGAATATATTATTCAAAGTTTGCTCCCATATTTCTTCAGCTAATGCTGGCTCGGACTATGCAGTTAAAAAAAAAAAGACAAAGAGCTTGCTACTCAAAGAAGTAAGGATTATTTTAGCAATGTAAATTGATCATTAACTGTGTTCCTTTTCCTACTGGTTAGTTATTTCAGTGACTTAAAACAATGTTTTGGTTCTCTTTTTTTTTCGAAATTTATGTCAGTTCATTTTTTGCAGGTGTTTTGGTCTTCTCCTTAGTCCTGGGAAAGATGTAAGAAATAGTGACATGCACTTATTAGATTTGGTAAGAGTTACATTTTTCATTTTTTTAAAGGTTATTTCATTTTACCCCACTTGAATCTAATTAATGTACATTTGTGATGTATTATTGTAGGCTATAAAACATCTCATGATAGATATAATAGGGATTTTCTTATTTCTGACTTTTCTGTTTACTAGTCTGATCTGGCCTTATTTTAGTTTAGCCTGAGTTTCTTGGCTCTGTGTTGTTGTTGATTCTACTTTTCTATCATGCAGTGTTCATATGATAAAGAAAAAAAGTATGAGGGGTTTTTTTGCAAACATGTAAAAACATTATGGTTTTATTGAGGGAGGACACTGATTCTAAGATGAATCTGGACTAAGAGGGGGAAGAAAAGAAAAAAGGAATTTGCACCCTTGAGGGTGCGATTGCAAGATTTTTTTGGCTTGATATTAGTATATTTATATTATATAAAATTCTTTATGTTGTAATTATTCACATGATAGAAGAATCCAACGTAGTTTTAAATAATGGATTTCCCTGGTGTTTGTATACTTTAATATGATATGCAAGCTTGAATTAATTTTTCAGGGAAAATGTATAAATAGTCAAAATTTCCATTTTTTACTATAGTCATTCACATATAATCCTATCTTTTTTTTTTTCTTTTTGGGTTTCACCCGGAGATGCTCAGGGGTTACACCTGGCTCTGCACTCAGGAATTATTCCTGATTCCTGGCAGTGCTCGGGGGACCATACAGGATGCTGGGAATTGAACCTGGGTCGGCCGCGTGCAAGGCAAACACCCTACCTGCTGTTCTATTGCTCCAGCCCCATAATCCTACCTTTTAAAAGAAATCTTGAACCTCTTCGTATTCTTATACTTTTCAACTTCTATTTTATTAAGAACAACAAAATGGGGATTAGCTGTTATTCCCTTACTTTGGGATTAATGAGTTTTTATACTTTTCCTTAGGAATCTATGGGCAAAAGTTCAGATGGAAAATCCTATGTAATTACTGGGAGCTGGAATCCAAAATCCCCTCATTTTCAAGTTGTCAATGAAGAAACTCCTAAAGGTAATAGAGACGGCTGACATAGTTGTAGAATATTGAGTCCCAGGAGGCTAAAATTAGACCATTTGTTTCACAAATTGTTTTCCTAGTTCTGTTGAAACCAAATAAATGGGTAAGTTTTTTTTTCTCTTGCTGTTTTCTGACCCCTTAAATGGGTAGTTCTTTAAGAATAAAACTTGTAAACAAGACATCCTTTTTCCTCTTTTTTTTTTTCTTTTTCCTTTTTGGGTCACACCCGGCAATGCTCAGGGGTTACTCCTGGCTCTGCAGTCAGAAATTACCCCTGGCGGTGCTTAGGGGACCATATGGGATGCTGGGAATTGAACCCAGGTTGACCACGTGCAAGGCAAACGCCCTACCCTCTGTGCTATTGCTCCTTCCCCTCTTCACTATTATTTGAGGTGAGGCATGGACCTCCCAGGTAATACTCAGGGACTTGGGGACACTTCCTGCAGTACTTGGCAAACCAGACTGGGCAGTTCAGTACTGTGACCCAGAGATCACCAGTGCCACCCAACAGTGCTGGGAGCCTTTGGAGCTCTACCTGGCCGTACTTGGTGTGCTGATGGCACTCACGTTTAGACTTGGGTCCCAGCACATGTAAAGCCTCTATCTCCCTAGCCCCTTTCCCACATTTTTTAAACCTTTATTTTTTTATTTCCTGCTTCCTTTTATTTTTATGTCCTTGCTTATTTAGAGACTTACAAATTTAATTTGTTTTGGAAAGATAATATTGCCACATATGGTCAAGAATTCAAAGGACTTGCAGGGGAAAGTCTATAATAGTTCCCAAGACCCCACCCAAAGGGACCCACTGTGACAAGTTTTTTGCATAACTTTACAGATTTTCTATGGATAAAGTTTTGTCTTCTGGTTTTTGGACCATATCTGGCTATGCTCGGGGTTTACTCCTGACTCTGGATAAGTGTTTTTGTTGTTGTTGTTCCTTAAGATAATTCATGCTCTTTCTAAACGTCACTTAATGGCAAAATTATAGTCTATCCTGAAAACAACATTTGCTTAAAAAAGCATTCACTTTCTTTTTTTTTATTTTCTTTTTTGGATCACACCCAGTGATGCACAGGGGTTACTCCTGGCTCTGCACTCAGGAATTACTCCTGGGAGTACTCGAGGGACCACATGGGATGCTTGGGATCGAACCCGGGTCAGCCGTGTGGAAAGCAAACACCCTCCCCGCTGTACTATGGCTCCAGCCCCCAAAAGCATTCACTTTCATGCCTTCATGTTAGCTGTTCATAATGCACCATTTCACTGAAGCTTATAAACAAACACTTTCCTTTGTTAAATGATTTTAAAATTTGGGGGTGCCCTGTGTTAGCATTATAGAGAAGCCATCCGCTTCTTTTTAAAAATGATGATGGATTACCTTCAGATATTTTATTTACTTTGGTTTTGGGGGTCACACCCTTCAGTGCTTGGGGATTCCTCGAGGCTCTTTGCTTAGTGAGTCCCAGGGGTGCTCCGGGGACTCTCTGCTTTGCAGAGATCTCACCAGAGCCAGCCGCATGCAAGGAGAGAGCCTCAAATCCTGTACGAAGCCTAAATTTGTAATAGAAGTGGTTAGGTTGGGGGCCGTAGCGATAGTACAGTGGGTAGGGCATTTGCCTTGCACACAGCCAACCCAGGTTCAATCCCTCGCATCCCATATGGTCCCCCAAGCACCTTCAGGAGTAATTCCTGATTGCAGAGCCAGGAGTAACCCCTGAGCATCGCCAGGTGTGACCCAAAAAGCAAAGAAAAAAAAAAAAGAACGAAAGAAGGGGTTAGTTTTACAATTATCATATAGCAAATATATTTCCATGTTTTTAAATTTCCTTTCCCCTCTTTCTAGATAAAGTGCTGTTTATGACCACAGCTGTTGATTTGGTAATCACGGAAGTGCAGGAGCCTGTTCGATTTCTTCTAGAGACTAAAGTTCGTGTGTGCTCACCCAATGAACGATTATTCTGGCCTTTCAGCAAACGCAGTACTACTGAAAATTTCTTTCTGAAATTAAAACAGGTACTGCTCTATGTAACCGGGAGGAGGAGTAACAAGAGAAATGCCACTTCTAAGGTTGATTTGTCATAAAACTATGTTAGATTGTTAGTGTTCTAAATATAAGAGAATCCAGTGTCACTTATTTTTACCCACTTAAAATTTTTTTTCCCACTTACAATTTTTTTTTGAACTTTATATAACATTTATTAATATAAACCAGGATCATGGATGAAAGCAATAACTACAGTAGTGTCACTAATGAGGAAATATTTTCAAATGTTATGGATTTAATAGCACACAGACCTTGGCTGACACAATTTAAAATGACAGATAAAATTTAAAGACTAATATTTTACCTTTATGATTAATAAATTATCAGTAGTCATGTCATATGGAGTCGTCATTAAAATAATTAAAATATTTGGCACTGATACAACATAGTTAACTCTTTATATCCAAACTTTTTTTATTGGAAATAATATCCTACATTGACTGTTTAAGAGAACGTATACTTAATTTTTGTTTCAAATTATAATAATTTTATTTCAAATACAAATATATATGTTATATCTTATTACTAAAATGGCCTCAAATAGGTTTTATTATTCTTTTGTGACTGATATTATCATTGCTGTCTTGTTTTTGTTACAACTACTATTAAAAAAGAAGTTGAAGCTTGGAGAAAGAGTAACTTTCCAAAGGTTACATCACAATGAGTAATCCATTAGATTCTAAATCTCTATTCCATACTAGATACTCTGCTTTTACTCTGTCTTTATATATCTGTCTACCCCCGCATTATAAATATGCCTGTAATCAGTATTTCTGACTGCGTTCTTAGTTTTTTTTTTTTAATTTATTTATTTATTGAATCACTGTGGGAAAGGTTACAAAGCTTTCAGGTTTAGGTCTCAGTCATGCAAATATCAAACATTTCCCTTTACCAATACTTATTTTTTACCATGAAGAACCCCAATAAGACCCCACCCCCCACCCCTCCCAGTCCCTGTGAGGCAGATGAATTCTAGTTAATACTCTATCTGCTTTGATTAGATTCATTGTTTCATTAAAAGATTCACCACTATTATTTAAAGTTTACCCCCCCCCCCAAATCAGACATGCTGAAAAAGCATTGTGAAGTGATTTGCTTTCTACAGCTGGGTTCAAGAATTAAATGTTGGTTTTGGATTTCTGCTATTTTACCTATTGACCCTGGAAGTATTTCTACTGAAAGTCAGATAGTTAAGAAATTGGTTTCTGTGCTCTGGAGTCGTGGCCGTGCTGGAGAGCCGCTCGTGGGGGGCAACTGGTGGCCTCGGTAGGGCGTGAAGGGCGGACCGAAACACCCCCCTTCCCATCCCACTTACAATTTTTGATATATCAGGATGTATCATTTTGGCTTTTTTTACTTTTATTTTTATTTGAGAATTGATACCTGCTGATCTTAAGCACCATAGATATTGGTCACAAGTTATTTCCAGCTTGTCTCATTAGAAAAGGGAAAAAATACCACTAAAAATATAAAGCAAAACCAAACTCTTTGGGGATTCTGATAGAAGCTGCAAGATGGGGGGATTGTGTCATTGCACCACTGGTTGTTCGCAGAAACTGAAAGAAGGCCATAACTTCTGTTGTTGCCTCCAAGAAAACCTCACATGCTCTTCTCCCCCAACCCCCCCCCCCCCCCCCCCGGTCTTCTAACGACCATCATCTATGTGTACCAAAAAGTGCCAGCCAATTGCTTCTTCCTCGAATAGTAAATCCACTTGACTTCTCCAAGGCCAGAAAGCTAAATGGTTCCTGACATACCATAATATGTTTTTTATCAGTACAAGTGTCATATGACCAGTTTGAAAATCCTAATGTGGGGCCAGAGCAATAGCACAGCGGTTAAGATGTTTGCCTTGCATGCAGCCAACCTTGATTCAATTCCAGGCATCCCAAATGGTCCCCTGAGCACCGCCAGGAGTAATTCCTGAGTGCAGAGCCAGGAGTAACCCCTGTGCATTGCCGGGTATGACCTAAATGAAAAAAAGAAAAAAATCCTAATGAAAGGAGCACACGGGAATCACCAAAGGGCAGTGACAGTGACTGTGTTTGAAGGGAGTACGGATGGCCAAAGAAAAGGTTGAGATGGGGCAAGTATCCTTCCAGAAAGGTGTTCCATAAACCAAAGGATGAGGTTCAGGTCATGGAATCTGATTATAAAGCAGAGTGCAGGCTGGAGATTTACCTACCAGGAGTAGGGGTGAATCCTGAAGGCCCCCAGCACGGAGAATTTTAACTTCCAACAGGGGGGTGATTATTGTCGTTGTTGTTTGTTTGGGGGCCACACCTAATAGTGCTCAAGGGTCACTCCTGGCAGTGCCAGGGAGACCGTATGCAGTGCAGAGGATTGGAATTGAGCATGGGTTGGCTGTGTGCAAGGCAAACGATTTACGTATTGCCCTCTCTCAGGCCCGTTAACTTCCTGCAGTTCTTAATTTTTCTACACTTTACAATAGTTGCCCCTGTGCTTAGGTGCCAAAATTTCAAGCATTTCTTAGATATTTTTTGAAATTTAAATAAGACTGTTCTCAAAGTGAGATGATTAAGTTTTTGTTGTTTGTTTATCTGGGGGCCACAGCCGCCAGTGCTCAGAGCCTAATCCAGCAGGGCCATACCCAGGAGCATTCCAACCTCTGCCCAGGGGTCACTTTTAGAGGCACTCAGGACCCTTTTCAGTGCTGGGGCTCAAACTGGGGTCGGCAGCGTGTAAGGCCCCCTGTACTATCTCTCTGGACCCAAGAGACAGCGAACTTTTAAAATTAGTACCTAGCATTTAATCGTCGTGCCTAAAATCCCTTGATATTCCCGTGGATATTTTCCTTTTTCAGTTGTTGTCACAGCTTACACATCATTATGGTGGTCCTATGTATTTCTAAAGACTCACATTTCTGTCTGATCTTTGTACTCCAACCCGACGGATTTCTGGCATTTCTTTTAGGGACGATCTCCAAACGTAGCTGTTTCGTTGTTCCTGTTTCGTTGTTCCTGTTTGCGGAGCCACACCCCGCAGTTCCCGGGGGCCCCCAGGACTATGTGCAGTGCTTGGGGTAGAGTTAGGGGCGCATGGGACAGCACTTTGGGCTTGACCCCTTCGTTCCGTTATCTCCCTGGGCTTCTGTCGGTTGCTTTACAGCCTGGCGCCCCTGCCCTTGTGCAGGTATGTGGGATCTAGTGTAGGGTAGGAACCAAGCCAGTGGAGAGTAGAGATCCGTGTTGGAGAGGCCCACAGATTCAGGCCCCTCAAAGGGCCGCCCCCAGGCTGTGCAGCCCCCCTTCCCAAAGTCTGTGCCTAACTTGGGGGTTCCGCCTCCCGGCACCTGCAGAGGCAAAGCAGATGAGAAGCGCGGTTGAGACCTGTCGCTCCGGGTTCGGGTCTCAGTCTCAGTGATGGGGCAGCTGCAGGCTTATCGGCAGAGGCATCCTGGCTGGCTGTGTGGGACCTAACTGTCCTGCTCCGTCCCTCCTGGGGGCACTGCAGGCAGCTTACCCACATCTCAACTGCCTCCTTCCTTCTGCCGACCATGCAGGTGCTCCAGCCACCTCATCCGCTCCGGGGCGTGCAGTTCACTTCAGAGATGAACTCACTGGAAATGGGCGAGAGGCTGTTAGAGCCAGTTTGCCATCTTGCTGGAGTGTCTCCTTTCTTGGGTTTGAATTTTCAGCTTCTCAGTGCTGTGAGGAAGAGGGACCGACAGAGAATGAGCGCATTCTTTATATCGAAATATAGGAGGAGAATAAGACCTGGAGACAACAGAAATGAAGGCCAGGACTGGTCTTTCACAGGAAGTTGGTCCCGGTGTGGGGAGGGTAGGCTGGTCAGAGAAGGGGCCATGGTGACAGTGATAGGAAGGTGGGAAGGGATCACACTGGACCAGAACTGGGTGCTGAAAGAGGAGGGAAGTGGAATACCAGATGCCCTCTCAGAAGCAGTATCGCAACCCACAGCCCCTAAAAGGAAAAAATGGGAAAGTGGCTGCCGTAGAGGCAGGCCTGTGGAAAGGAAACTGGGGACACCGGTAGAGAGAAATGGACACTGGTGAAGGGTGCTTGGATATTGTTAAGACCGAATCTCAGTCTTCTGTGAAAAACTTCGTAATTTTGTATCTTGGGGTGATTGAATAAATTTTAAAAAAAAATATTCTGCTATCAGAGTAGAGTTTCCAGCATTCACAGAGAAGGAATGAAAGAAAGACTCTTAACTTCTTAAAATGATAGAATTAAACAATTTTTATTGGTAAATAGTGGCAGAGTTTCAAATGAGTTTGATGTTTTGGGTTTTTTTGTTTTTGTTTTTGTTTTTTGCTTTTTGGGTCAGGCTGGAGCGATAGCACAATGGTAGGGCGTTTGCCTTGCGCGAAGCCAGCCTGGCCATGTCGGGTTTGATTACTGCACCCCTCTCAGAGAGCCCAGCAAACTACTGAAAGTATTTCACCCACGTGGATATGCCAAACACAGTAACAAGAAGTCTCAAAATGGAGACGTTACTGGGCCCGCTCGTGCAAATCGATGAACAACGGGAGGACAGTGTTTGTTTTTTTGGGTCACACCCAGAGATGCTCAGGGGTACTCCTGGCTCTGCACCTAGGTTCTCTGCATGCAAGGCAAATGCCCCCTTTGTTGTATTATCGCTCCCGGAGTTCGATGTCTCTGGTTTGTGTGCCTCTTCATTCGAGTTGGGGACCACCATGGCCACGCCTGATAGTGCCTAGGCCACCGTATGGGACAGGAGATTGGAAAAGGAGCCTGCTGCTCACCTGTTTGCTGGCCACCTCGGGCTAGTTGTAGTTGTAGCTTGCAGGTGAAGATCTCTCTCTGTTTAACTCAAGGGGTGGCGAGACAAATGTAAATAAAAGGGCTTTTTTCTGAAAGGACTTCCCTAGTAGTGATACTACACAGTGAATCTGCCGTTGTAGTTGGGGGAATCAAACCTGGGCCTGCTGCAGACAAAATATGGGTACCCACCCTGTGGGCTGTCTCCCCATCCTTAAAGAGCTTCTAAGCCCTAAATTTTATTTTAAAATATTAAAAAACTTTCCATATAGAACCACTTGTATGTAAATTTCATGACTTCACCTTTTCTAACAGCTGCATAGTATTCCATTGTGTAGATGTACCAAAGTTTCTTTAACCAGTCATCTGTTCTCAGGCACTCGGGTGTTTTCCAAATTTTGGCTATTGTGAACAGTGCAGCAATGAACATAGAAGTGTAGATGTCATTTCGACTGTACATGGAAAGTATCATGCTAAGTGAAATGAGCCAGAAAGAGAGGGACAGACATAGAAAGACTGCACTCATCTGGGGAATATAACAGATGGGAGTCGAACACCCAAGAATAGTTGAGATAAGTGCCAGGAGGACTATTCTACAGCTTGGAAGCTGGCAGCACATGCTGGGGGGAAAGGCAGCTCAGATAGAGAAGGGAACACCAAGTAAAGAATGTTTGGAGTACTCGCTTGCTCGGGATGCAAGATGTGTGCTGAAAGTAGACTATAGACCGAACACAATGGCCACTCAATACCTCTACTGCAAACAACAACACCCTGAAGGAGAGAGTGAGCAAAAGGGAATGCCCTGCCACAGAGGTGGGGTGGGGTGGAGGGTGGAAGGGCTACTAGGATCATTGGTGGTGGAGAATGGGCACTCGTGGAGGGATGGGTACTCGATCATTGTATAACTGAAACCCAAGCACGAAAGTTTGTAAGTCTACAACTGTACCTCATGGTGTTTCACTAATAAAAAAAATTTTGAAAAAAGAAAATATATCATATCCTAGAATACGAGCTCATATATGGATAAAGAATGATGCTGATAGATCAACTCATCAACCAGTGATAAAATTTTTAACTACTAATGTGTGCTGAAATTAGTGAGTAGAAGTTTGATAAAGAATAGAATATTTGCGGAGGGCTACTGGGATCATTAGTGGTGAAGAACGGACACGGGTAGAGGGATGGGTACTCGATCATTGAATAACTGAAACCCGAGCACAAAAGTTTGTAAGTCTACAACTGTACCTAATGGTGTTTCCCTAATTAAAAATATATATATTAAAAAAACTTTATATATATTTAAAGCATTTTTTCCCTGAATAGTTTTTCCGTAGGAAGACTTGGAGGACAACGAACATAACTTAAATCTATGAAGGTTATTTTTTTAGTTCCAATTCATCTTTTCTGTTCAAACTGCAGTTAGATATTCGATGAGAAATTCTCAGGACAATAAATTGAGTCCCGGTCTGTATTCTCTTTTCCAAGGCTTTTTTGGTTGTTTTATTTTTAAAAATTTCTTGCTGGTGTGGGAGGGATTTGAGTCCACACCTGTCAGTGCTCAGGGATTATTCCTGGTGGTGCTCATAGAACAATGTGGTGCTGGGGATTAGACTGCGTTGGACTGCATGCAAGGCAAATGCCTTCCCTTTTATACGTTTCTCTGGCTCCTCCAAAGGGTTTTGAATGTAAGCATTTTAGTTAAAGCACACAGTTTTCTATTTATGAAAGGTTCCTTTAGTATAGATGTTGAAAGTAGTATCTTTTCTCACTGTATAAATAAAAAGATAGAGTGCTGAACATAAATGATGATTTTACCACTTAATTTTTTTTTTCACTCCTCAAGATAAAGCAGAAGGAGAGGAAGAATAATACTGACACTTTATATGAAGTCGTGTGCTTGGAAAGCGAATCAGAGAGAGAGAGAAGGAAAACTACAGCGAGCCCTTCGATTCGCCTGCCTCAGTCTGGGTCTCAGAGTTCGATGATTCCTTCTCCTCCAGAAGACGATGACGAGGAAGGTGAAGTATAAGGAGGGATTAACTCCTATTTTTGAGGGGATAGCGTAGGTTATGATAATTTTATCAGGAGTTGATGGTATGATATAGCATTTAGAATTATGAGTCTTCAATAGGCATAGAACTCAAAAGAGACTAACATGGAATTTCTTTTCAGGTCATTTTAATCAGGTTTAAAAGAATGAAGTTTATAAGCAGTATTTTTTAAAAATAGTAAAACAAACCAAAATCAAGTCCAGGCGCGAATACAGGGAGTAAAGTGCTTGCCTTTCATGTGAACAACTCTGGTTTCATCCATGGGACCACCATGGTCTCCCAGCACCATTGGTAGTCAGTCCTGAGCACAGAGCCAGGACTAGCCCCTGAGCACTGCCAGGTGTGGCCTGAAAACCCAAAAAGTAACAAAGTAAAATGAAACAAAAATCAGTCTTCCACTAACTTTATATATTAGATATTTTTAGAAGAAATTTGACATAGCTTTCACCCAAATACATCTCCCAACTACAAGGACAAGTTCACTTGGTAAAATGTGACTTCCACAAAGGCAAAATTTAATAGGCACATTTATTTGTTGAGTTTTAATACTGCTAATAGAGTTCTTTATGTTTCATCCATTGAATTAATCTGTCAGTTTTTTGTTTTTTTAAGAAATCCTACATGGAAGTAGGAAATAAAGGGAAGACACACAGGAAAAGTGAAGTTTGGGGAGCAATCTCTAAGTTTAAGTTAGTACCAGTACCAAGACTGCACCTTTCTTTCAGTTTTGGGGTCATACCTGGCAACTCCAGGAATTACTCTAGACTCTGCTCTCAGGCATCACTCCTGGCAATGCTCGGGGTACCCTATGGGATGCTCAGATTGAACCCAGGTGGGCTTTGTCAAGACAGACACCCTCCCCACTGTACAGGGACTGCGTCCCTCAAGACTTTTAAGGGAACCAAAGAAGCAGATTGCGAATCTATTCTGTGCTATTAGAAAATCAGAAGACATGGTCTAGAAAGTAATAGTGAATTTTTTTTTTCATTATTGGGAGAGCGAGGTTTGTCATGAAGAGAACTTTTTGATTTGGAAGCTTCAAAATGCTAAGAGAACACAGAGACACACAGCTGGTTTGGACATTTGGGGCTAAGAAATGGCATTAAGAAAGGCACAGGAGAAAGGAATGGTTGGATTACAAGAGATACATGTCCAAAAATATTCAAAAGTACATGTGTGCTTTCCAGTTTAGTGGGATCGCTGACTTTGCAGCTTCCGCCTCCCTTATGACTTTCAGCTTTGGATCTTTTTTTACTTGAGGAGCGATAGCACAGCGGGTAGGGCGTTCGCCTTACAAGCGGCCAACATGGCCGACCCGAGTTCGATTCCTCCGCCCCTCTCGGAGAGCCCGGCAAGCTACCGAGAGTATTCGATATGCCAGACACAGTAACAACAAAGTCTCCATTGGAGACGTTACTGGGCCCGCTCGAGGGGCCTTTTAATAGTAACACATTCCAGTTAGATGTTGTATAATACTTTATGTGCAGTTCTTTGTTATAAAGTAAAATAATCTTTGTTAATATTTCTCTAACCAAAAATCTTGAAAAGTACAATGATTTGTTATACTCAGTTTTCCCATAAAGAAATGGAGCATCAGAAAAATAAATTTGCCCGCGATCCATGGCTTGCCAGTGGCAGGGGCTCACTATGGGTCGCATGTAGTTGAATTCACATGTCTTGAGTTTACAGTTCTTCTGTCATCTTTGGGCATTGAGTTCACATCCAGCAGTTTGAACTACAGAGGACATGCATGAGCTGGATTACAGCTGTAAGAGATACAATCCAGAGTGCCTGGCACTGGGCACTCCTAGAACTTCTAGCAGTTTCCTTCTAGTTTATGGTTCTTTTTTTTTTTTTCCTCTTTTGGGTCACACCCAGCGATGCTCAGGGTTTACTCCTGGCTCTGCTCAGGAATTACTCCTGGCAGTGCTCAGGGGACCAAATGGGATGCCAGGGATTGAACCCGGGTTGGCTGCATGCAAGGCAAGCACCCTACCTACCATGCTATAGCTCCAGCCCTAGTTCATAACTTTTCTTTTTGTTTTTTTTTGGGGGGGGGGGTCACACCTGGTGATGCAAGGGGTTACTCCTGGCTCTGCACTCAGGAGGTACTCCTGGCGGTGCTCAGGGGACCATATGGGATGCTGGGAATTGAACCCGGGTTGACTGCGTGCAAGGCAAATGGTGCTATCTCTCCAGCCCCCCTAGTTCATAACTTTTAAGGTGATTGAGTAGACCCACATTTTGCAGGATAGTCCTTTGAGATTTATACCAAACAATGGAGTACAGTCGTTATGTAAAGTTCATTTCTCAGGAATGATGGAGGCCACACCTGGGCTCAGGGCTTCATCCTGGCTCTGCATTCAGGGACCACTCCTGCTGGGGCTCAGGGCACCATACAGGATCAAGCCCAGGTTGGCCACGCACAGGGCAAGTACCCTACTTGCTGTACTATCTCTCTGATCCCTGTCTGTTTTAAACTATACCAGTATTGCTTAAAAACATGGTGTGATGGTTATGTGGTGGCAGAGAATATGTGGTAAAATTTGGCAGCTCTTCTCCTTTAAACTCAGCAGTGGGGCTGGAGCAATAGCACAGTGGTTAGGGCACTTACCGGGTTCGATTCCCAGCATCCCATATGGCCAGGAGCAATTCCTGAGTGCATGAGCCAGGAGTAACCCCTGTGCAATGCCGGGTGTAACCCAAAAAGCAAAAATAAATAGCACTGTCCTTCCATTGTACATCCATTTGCTCGAGCGGGCACCAGTAACGTCTCCATTGTAAGACTGTTGTTACTGTTTTGGCATATCGAATACGCCACGGGGAGCTTGCCAGGCTCTGCCGTGTGGGCAGGATACTCTCGGTCGCTTGCCAGGCTCTCCGAGAGGGGCAGAGGAATCGAACCCGGGTTGGCCCGGATGGGCTGTGTGCAAGGCAAACGCCCTACCTGCTGTGCTATCGCTCAAGCCCAAAAATAAATTAAAAAAAAATTTTTAAATAAAAATAAACTCAGTGGTAACAACAGTGCTAAGAGCAGGGGCCGTGAGAAGGCAGGGTGGTAGGGGGAGTGCTTGGTTTGCTGCACACAGCACATAGGAGCCCCAGGTTGTTATCCGGCAGGACACAAACCCCCAGGACAATCGGATGTGTCTCCCTGCAAAAGAAATTGCCAAAGACAATTCTAAAACCACAGAACATCAAGTCTTTTGTGCACTGTTGATTTTAGAGATGATCTTGCATTAACCAAAAAATATTTTGCCCAGGGGCCGGAGCAGTAGTACAGTGGGTAGGGCATTGGCCTTAGACAAGCCAACCCAGGTTTGATCCCCAGCCCTCCATGTGGACATCAGAGCCCGCCAGGAGTGATTCCTGAGTGCAGAGCCAGGAGTAGTAACTCCTGAGCACTTCTGAATGTGGCCCAAAACAACAAACCGAAAAGATGGGCATTGCCAGAGATTTGGCATTGTCTTCTAGTTCTGCATGTTTACTGCTGCTGCAGATTCTTCCTTATTATCGCTGAGGAGTGTTTGAAGGCACTACTGACATTATGCAATTGTGGAGAGAGAAAAACTGAAGACAGCAAGTAGCCTGGAAGAATCCGTGAAAACAAGACAAAATTGGTGGAAGGGAGGGGGGGTGTGCTCTTCTGCCCACAGTGTTTCCCTGGTCTGTAGCAGTTTCCAGCATACGTTAAATGATCACTGGCAGGATGGGTAAACCTCCCAGCTTCTATTTGTGTGGACACTCAGCACTGAAGAAGTTCTTTTTTGGAGAGGGGGGTGCTGGAGCAGGGGGCCATACCCGGCTATGCTCAGGGGTTACTCCTGGCTCTGCACTCAGGAATCACTCCTGACAGTGCTCAGGGAGCCAGATGGGATGCCAGGGATTGAACCTAGGTTGACCGTGTGCAAGGCAAACGCCCTACCTGCTGTATTACTGCTCCACCCTGAAGAAGCTTCTTACCTGGCTATCTTAAAATTCTCTTCAACCTTGTTTATGAACCATGAATGGTCCTGTAGTGCTCTTTATGCTCTGAAAAGAAATGGCTGTAATCAGGCTTTTCATCCATAAGACATTTTTGCACCCAGGGCCTGGAAACATGCTCCTATAAAGGGAGGTGTTTGTGAGCCAGTGAGGCTGCTACAGGGTTTAAAGCATTTGCATCCTGTTGACACTGGTTTGAATCCCTGCCACCGCACTAGAGCATAGAGCCAGGAATAGCCCCTGAGTACTACCAGGTGTGGCACCAAAAACTAGAAGAAAAATAGGGTGAGGTATTCACAAACAGCATTCCGAAATTGTTGGGTAATACCCTTGCCCTGCACACTGCCAACCTGGGTTCAATCCTCAGCATCCCTTACAGTCCTTTGAGCACCGACAGGAGTGAGTTCTGAGTGCAGAGCCAGGGCTAACTCCTGATCTTTGCCAAATGTGACCCAGAAACCAAAAAGGGAAGAAAAAGGGAAAAAAAAGTGAAATCACCTGCTTTCTCCCCTTCATATTCTTCCATTAGATACATGGGATTCTAAACTCTGAACTGCTTAACTTGGAATTCCATGAATTCCAACTTACTGCTACTGATTTTTTTGAAAGTTTAAATTTTAATACTTTTTTTCATAGCTACTTTCCACCAAAGAGTTGTGTAACATTTTGATGAGCATTAACTTGCAACATCAGAAATAATTTTTGACGCAGTGGTAAAATAAGGGAATTTTTTTCTTTTTCATTCATCTACAGGAATCGTTTCACTTTACATCCAGGCAATCCTCTTCTGTCTTGCCATCAATACTCTTGATAACGGCATTTATAAGGAGAAGTTTGGTAATCAGTTTCATGGATTTCCGGGTCTTTAAAAACAAATATTCTTAAAATAATTACTTTCCTCAGTGGGGTGCACATTCATGACAGAGTCACTAGATTTCTAAAGATCCAAACATTGTAGGTAGATTAGATGAAAACAACACAGAAGCAGCATCGATGAGGCACAGGGGGAAAAGTATTATTTCCAGTGTCGAAATGTTAATTATTTTGGAGGCAGTTTGCCACTAAGTTTGAAAATCTTTAAAAATCTACATATTTCAGCCCACTTCTGAGCATATAACCAACGGAAACAGTGAACTTTGTTCTGATACTGTCTGTAATAAGTTGACCTCTCCACAGCAGTTTCCTGTGAAGGAGAAATTAAGCAGATTTCTTCCCTTTCCCCCCCCCCCCCCACTTTTTGGGTCACACCCAGCGATGCTCAGGGGTTACTCCTGACTTTGCACTCAGGAATTACTCCTGGCGGTGCTCGGGGGACCATATGGGATGCTGGGAATCGAACCCGGGTTGGCCGCATGCAAGACAAACGCCCTCCCCACTCCAGCCCCAGCACCTTTCTTCTTAATCCTTATTTCATGCCTTCACCTAACTTACACTTCCCAACTCTCACATGGCTTCATCAGTTCACTTTTCACTTTTGTGTACTTTGTTCATAGTTTATAACCTTTAAATTTTCATTTGAATCTTCCTAATTTTTCTGTTTTTGTTTTTGTTTTTTAGTTTTGTAAAGATTGATTTGAGGTCCTGTATTTCAGTCCTCTTGGCGATGGTTTCTCTCGCCCCACACACCCGCACCACTCTAGCCGCATCTACCCCCCCCCCCCCCCCCAGGACCCAGGGTCTGCCCCTTTCAGGGAATCTTTCTGAGTTCTTGAATTCAGTTTGAAATTGTTCATTTCTGTTCTTTTAAATATTTTGTGCTTTCTACTGTAAATCAGTGCCATTGTAGAAAATTCATAGATAAAACAATGGGTCAGGCTCTTGCCTCGCATGTGATCACTGTTCACTGGTCGCATGAACACCGCTAGGTGTGTTTCCTGCCTGCGAAGCCAGGAACAACCCCTGAGCATTGCCAAGTGTGGCCCAAAAACAAAAAAGACAAAAAAAGGGAAAAAATCTATCAGAACTCCCATCACTCGGATGCTCAGATGTGGTAAGAGTTAAATTTTGTTAAGCATAGTTAAATTTCAGTGTAGTTCATCCCAAACCATTTTTTAATTTCCTATGACTGGTTAGATTATAATTAAGGATTGTACTTCATGTTTTTATTTTATATTGTTTCTTGTCTTGTCATGTAAATAAATGTCTGCAGACAATTACATTTCCTTTGTATATAACTGACTAACATTTTTTTCCATTTGCTGTCTCTTCCCTTTGTTGTTGATGTGATTGATGAGGGAGTTTTACACACACACACACACACACACACACACACACACACACACACACGATGAGTGATGAGGGCTGGGATGCAATTTGTCTCTACTTGCAGTGCTCCCCAGGGTGTAGGGTTACATATGAGGTGGCGGCCCTCACACAGCAGGACATGGTGCTCCCTGAGATTTGTGCTCCCTTTAGTTCAGCTGCCTCCCACATCTTTGCCAGGGGCCATCCTTTGCATTTGACGCATGCTGGTTCTAGCCGTGGTGGTGACCAAGAGTCGCCGTTGGGCTCACACACTTGTTGACCAGCTATGGTGGCTGTGGCGCTCACACATGTTTTTAGTTGTGGTCCTCTGCAGGAGTCACTGTTTGGTAAACACAATACCCTTTTTTTTTTTTTTTTTTTTGGTGATAGCACAGCGGATAAGGCCTTTGCCTTGCACGCGATTGATCCAGGTTCGATTCCTCCTCCCCTCTCGGAGAATCCCGCAAGCTACTGAGAGTATCCCGCCCGCGTGGCAGAGCCTGGCAAGGTCCCCGTGGCGTATTTGATATGCCAAAAACAGTAACAACAAGTCTCGTGATTACTGGTGCCCGCTTGAGCAAATCATTGAACAGTGGGAAGACAGTGCTACAGGCAGGTTATAATGCGGTTGGAAATCCTGTGCCAGGGATCCCAGCTGAGGCGCTGAGATGGTGCTGCATGCTCGTGGTAACATCAGGGACTTGAGTTGGTGACCGTACACATTCTAGGCCTCCCGTGTTTTCCTCCAGGCTCTTTAGCCATTCATCAAAAATATTATAGATACTATAAACAAGACCACTGTGTGTTTTATGTAAAGCTGCTTCTGCTTGTGGCACTGGAAAAAAATAAAGGTGTACCATCATCTTAATCCGATCATTTTATAAGTAGATGGTCTCTTTCTATAGCTTATATTATCTCAGAAGCAAATGAGTTTTAAAGCAATTATAGCAGCATTCTGTCTAGGTCCATGTTTAGTTATGTATGTTTATATTCTCAGCGAGGGGGGGAGTGACATTATGCTCTGTGTAAAATATTCTTAGTTTTACTGTCCTGTTTTCAGTCCATTCTTTTGCCTATCATTGTCACGTTTCTACCTTTTGTGTGTTTCATTTATTAAAGATAATGACGAACCCCTCTTGAGCGGATCTGGTGATGTATCCAAAGAATGCGCAGAAAAGATTCTCGAAACGTGGGGAGAACTGCTGTCAAAATGGTAAGATATAGTATAAGGTTTCTCTGGTTTTTTTTTAATGTCTAATTCTTATGTTATCGTTTGGAACCTCCTTGCCTAGCGTAGCTAGTGATAGAAACCTATAAACCAGATATTCACAAAATTTTTGCTTTTATTTTTTTGTAGGAGTATTGCTGTTTATTTAGCTATTGAGTAGGCTGATTGAAATGGGTATGAACTCCACCTTACTTTTCTTTTTTTCCTTTTTATAATTTTTTTTTTATTGAATCACTGTGAGAGCAGTTACAAAGCTTTCGGGTTTAAGTCTCAGTCATACAATGAAACACCCGTCCCTTGACCAGTGTCCATTTTCCACCACCAAAACCCCCATGATACCCCCCATCCCACACCCTCCCTCTACCTGTGGGGCAGATGATTTCCACATTACTCTCTCTCTACTTTGATTACATTCAACATTTCAATACCAGACCCACCATTATTATTTGGGATTTTACCCCAACACTCAGATCTGCCAAAAAAGGAAACAGTAGACAATTTGTTTTCTATTGCTGGTTATAAATAACATATGATTTTGGAATTCCAAAATTTTAACAATTAAATCTGGAGGGATTTCTGCCAAAACCTGCTGGGTTCCGAGATTTGTTCCTGAGTCTTTGGGATCATGGCCGTTAAGCAGCTTGATCAGGAGCCAGAGAGGCCATTCGTGGGCAGCTACTCAGGGTCTCATTGAGGTGGAGAGGAAAGGGCCAGCTCCACCCTCATCCCATGAGGCCCCACGTGTCTCGTCACTGTGGGCGCAAACCTGACTGTCCAATGGCCTCTGGAGGATGGCGGCCACCAAGCCGCCAAGGGGGAGCAGGCGGAGGGACAACACCCTTTCCCCCCTGAAGTTGCCTGGTGACAGTAACCTACCGCATTTCTGCCAAAAGCTGCTGGGTTTCGAGATTTGTTTCTGAGTCTCTGGGATCATGGTTGTTAAGCAGCTTGATCAGGAACCAGAGAGGCTGTTTGTGGGCGGCGACTTGGGGTCTCATTGGGGTGAGGAGGAAAGGACTGGCTCTACCCCCATCCCGTGAGGCCCCACATGTCTCGTCACTGCAGGCCCAAACTTGACCGTCCAATGGCCTCTGGAGGATAGTGGCCACTGAGCTGCCAGGGGGAACAGGCCAAGCCACAAAACCTATTCCCATCTGGGGTGGCCCGGCGCTGGTAACCTACTGCAGGGACCGGACGCATTTCTGCCAAAAGCCGCTGGGTTCCGAGATTTGTTTCTGAGTCTCTGGGATCATGGTCGTTAAGCAGCTTGGTTAGGAGCCAGAGAGGCCGTTCGTGGGTGGCGACTAGGGGTCTTGTTGGGGCGAGGAGGAAAGGGCCAGCTCCACCCCCATCCTGTGAGGCTCCACCTGTCTCGTCACTGCGCGCCCAAACCTGACTGTCCAATGGCCTCTGGAAGATGGCAACCACCAAGCCGCCAAGGGGGAGCAGGTGTAGGGACAACACCCTTTCCCCCTTGGGGTGGTCTGGCGCCGGTAGCCCATTGCGGGGACTGGATGCATCTCTGCCAAAAGCCGCTGGATTCCAAGATTTGTCTCTGAGTCTTGGGATCATGGCCGTTAAACAGTTCAATTAGTAACCAGTGAGGCCTTGCCTCCAATTATACAGCTGAGCCGGAAGTGGTTTGTGGGTGTGTCTCCCACATACCTAACTTTTGGCCGTTTACTTTCTTGGTAAACTTTGCCCCAAGTTGTTGGGGTCTGGCCAAAGGCACAGCAGCAATTTTGGGGTATCTGAAAGTCTGAAGGAGCCATCAGGCTGCTGATGCACTGGCCTCACAGGCACAGATTGACCTGCTGGCGACACCATACCGCCAAATTTCTGCTTTTAGAGGTTTATCAGAGTAAGAGTAAAAAATCTGAAGTCAACCTTCAGAATATCAAAGATGCAGTAAGTTCTCCTTGCTGCAGAATGCACCTATTTAAATGTAAATCCAAAGAGAAATTAAGTCAGCAAAGGTATCCTTTCCCCTGAAGAGGTTAGCAGCTGTAGGCTGAGAGTAACTGCAGAGTTGTCGAGGAGTTTCAAGAGTTCTGCCAGTTCCCTAGAGTCACAGGAGTGATCTCAGGTGAGATTTTTTTCCATCTCTATGTTAAGAACTTGGCGTGATAAGGCAGTGTTACTAGTATAGCAAGGATTTATTACTATGTCGATTATTCTCTACTACTCATAAAATTCAGAACTATCTCATCATCTAAAGAGATAACAGTAATAATGTAAAGGCACCACACCTGGCAGTTCTCAGGGCTTACTTTTGGTGCTGCACTCAAGGATCACTTTTTCCAGACTCTAGAGACTATGCGGGGTGCCAGGGATGGAACCTGGGTCAACTTTGTGCAAGGCAAGTAACCTACCCACTGTACTGTCACTTCTGCCCCTCGAGTCCTATTTCTTTTTTTTACTTCTTTTTTGAGTCACACGCGGCAATGCACAGGGGCTACTCCTGGCTCGTGAACTCAGGAATTACTCCTGGCAGTGCTCAGGGGACCATATGGGATGCTGGGAATCAAACTCGGGTCGGCCGCGTGCAAGGCAAACGCCCTACCGCCCTGTGCTGTCACTCCAGCCCCTTGAGTCCCATTCCTAAGCTCATTTAAAAGACTGACATATTGCTTCCTACAAGCCTGTTACTTGGGAAACCAATTTTTTTTTCCCCAGAAGTTTTAACTATTGATTAAAACATTCACTCTATACTGAGTAAAACAGTATCTCCAAATTCTAAAACGTTTTGTTTGCGGGGGGGGGGGGGGGGGGCACACCTGCCTATGCACAGGTGTTACTCCTGGCTCTGCACTCAGAAATTACTCCTGATGGTGCTCGGGAAGCCATAAGGGAAGCTGGGAATAGAACCTGGGTAGTCCGCACAAGGCAAATGCCCTACCCGCTGTGCTATTCTCCAGTCCCAGCTCTGAAACTTTTCATGCCCTTAAGGGACGAAACTACAAGAGGGTGTCTTTTGCCTGAGAACTCTCTTGTCACTTTTACACTTTTGATAAAACTCTCTCTAACTTGGGGAAATGGCAAATGAGCCCAGAGAGAAAGGATAAGCCAAAGCATGTTTTGTCTTAGAAAGGTAGTTTCAATAACTGAACTCTGTAAGGCTTGCCCAGGGGAATAATTTTCACTTATTTTTTACATTCCTTTAGCAATCAGTAGGCAAACTGCTGATGCTCTCATCGCAATTATATTTTCAGTTCAGTACATTTGGAGTGTTTTGACTGCTGGCTGGCAGGGATTTGTTATGTATAAAAAGGTTTCTGCTCTGAAATAGAACTGTAATTGAGACTTGGCATGGTGATATAATGGTATATTTTAAATCATCTAGAGGGAACATTTAGAATCTAGAATTAGAGTCTATTAGATGAATTCATCAGAATTATATAGTTGCTTGCATTTTTTGTTATTAAGCTGTGATCATTTTATTATTAGTTATGTCCTCCCACTCTTGCAGATTTATTAACAGAGTTTCAATGTCTCAGCTGTCTTAAGCGTCTTCAAAACTGGTTTTGCTTTGAAACAGTTCTGCCTTCAGAAATAGTATCGTTTTCTCTTAATTTCTCCATCATTGTTCATCATTATTATATGTCTTCTACAGATAGAAAAGCATCCTACTGTTACGAAATTTGGAAATCTGGTAGACCTGGCTTTAAATTCTCTCTGTCCGACTTTAAAGATATATGGTCTTGGAGTGATTTGCAATATAACAAATCACTTAATACTTTTGAATCTATTTTTTCATATAGAAAATACAAGTCTGTACACTATTCAACATATCATACTGTTGAATAAATTAATGGTAGTTGCATTGATAATATTCTGTTTCAGCTATAACCATCCGAAAAGCTAGTATTGTTTTTAACAGATGAGGAAGCTAACTCAAATTAATTCAGCTATTCTAGTTCATAATCATAGAGCAAGGGTTTTCAGTCAAATCCGATCCCAAAACTTGTTTAATTTTACATTAGATATTTAGTGGCAACTTTGGTAAGGGAACCTTTGAACTCTTATTCTCCAAGTTAATTTTGATGTGGTTTTCTGTATAGGAGAACTCATGTAACAGTAAAACAGTTTGTTGTGATATATAAACTTATTATTATCAGACAACATAAAATTATGCTTAAAATAATTTTACCGATTAACCCTAGGCTAGGGTTAGCAAATGTATGCAAGGGCCCAAATGTAAATAATGTAGGAATCAATAATTTAACCCTAAATTATAATAATCTACAGTTATCAAAATAATAATAATTTATGGGTTAACTGTTACAAGTGTTCAACTCTTGGCCGGAGCGATAGTAGGGCGTTTGCCTTGCATGTGGCTGACCAGGATTTGATCCCTGGCACCCCATCCTGTCCATTTTTCTGCTGCAATTCTGGGACTGTTTTTGAGAAGACTTAAAATTTTTTTATATTTTTCCCCTTCTTCTTTTGGAGGGGATGGTTGGGGGAACATACCCAGCTATGCTCAGGGCTTACTCCTGGCTCTGACCTCAGGGATCATTCCTGACTGCTCTGGTGATCATATATGGTGCTGGGGATCGCACCTGGGTTGGCCCTATGCAAGGTAAACTTCCCACTGCGCTCTCTCCTCAGCCTTAAACCTTTTTATATTTTCAGAGTATTCAGTAAACAGCCCATTCAAAGATTCACAGAAGCTTTCTAGTCAGTATCCTGCTTTATCCATGATGTGATGGTGACTTTCTCCCCCCCCCCCCCGCAACCCCCCCACGGGTTGCTTTTTTTTTTTTTTAACTTCTTTTAAATTTTACTGAATCACCGTGAGATAGTTACAAGCTTTCATGTTTGAGTTACAATCACACAATGATCAAACACCCATCCCTCCACTGGTGCACATTCCCCACCACCGATGTCCCCGGTATACCCCCCTCCTTTCCCACCTGCCTCCATGGCAGACATGATTCCCCATAATCTCTCCCTACTTTTGGGCATTATGGTTTGCAGTACAGACACTGAGAGGTTGTCATGTTTGGTCCTTTATCTACTTTCTGCACACATCTCCCATCCCAACCGATTCCTCCAGCCGTCTTTTTCTTAGTGATCCCTACTCTATTCCAGCTGCCTTCTCCCCTTTGCTCACGAGGCCGGGTTTTAGCTAAGGAGCAATCTTCCTGTCCCATGTATCTACTATCCTTTGGAGTCAGCCTCTCGTTATGCTGTTTTATACTCCACAAATGAGTGCAGTCCTTCTCTGTCTGTCCCTCTCTTCCTGACTCATTTCACTTAGTATGATACTCTCATGTCTATCCATTTATAAGCAAAGTTCATGACTTTGTGATGCCGACTTTCAAATGACAACAGCGATACAGTCCAGCAGATAGAACAGAGGCTTTCTGACTTATTGTGGCCAGCTGCCCCCCTTCAGAATGGCTGTTACTCAGTTCCCCTAGAAATAGACCTTCTGTGAGTGTATGGCCATTCCCCTACCGCCCCCCCCCCCCCACACACACACCCATTGCTCCCAAGGCAGCTCTACTCCCCTTCATTCTTCCAGTGGGCCTGGGGTGCCGTTATCTCCCAGTTTGAAAAACATCGAAATAGGATTTAAAGCTTAAGGACTACTGCAGTCGTGTAATGTGCAGGGTGGAGGGACGCAGGCTGTTGGGACACACCCAGCAGTGCTCAGGGAGGATTCCTCTCTCTGTACTCGGAAGAGAAATCCAGGGTCGCCCCTTACCTCCTGTCATATCACTCTGGCCCACTTCAGTCATGTAATTAACGATACGGAGCTCTTTTTCTCTGTTGGTAAAAGAGGAGAAAAGACCAGGTGTTGGTTGTGAGGCTCAAATAAGATGTTGCACTAAAGCACTCTGAAGGGGTGGGTGGCTTCATGCTTTGCAGGGCTCAGCTTCAGCTCCTACATGGCATGTGCCCCCTGGACCACCACCGGGAGAAATCCCTGAGCACAGCGCAGTAGCAGCCTCTGAGTACCGCTGGGTACTGCTGGGTGTGGCCCCCAAACAAACAAAGCACTGCGTATGTTTATACCAGAATTTCCAGGGAAAGTAAATTTTCCCTATTATATAAATGAGATAAAGTAAACTTTTCCTTAATAGCTTTTCATTTGTTTGTTTTAGAGCCACACCCTGCGGTAATCAGGGCTTTCTCCTAGCGCTCAGGGACCCCTTCCTGGTAGGGTTCCGGGGGTCAAACCTGGGTCAGCTGCGTGCAAGGCAAGCACCTCGCCCGCCGTTCTGTTGCCCCAGCCCATGGTGTCACAGTAGTGTGGTAGAAACTTTCTTCTCTGTTCACCATAATGGTTAAAAGATGTTGCTTGAAGCAAGATATCACAAAAACAGCTGAAAATATTCTTTAAAGATTCAGTCTAACATAGAATATAAAAATACACTGTTGTTAGTTTTGGTGCGGAGTCAGTTCCGTATCTTTGGCTCTGTGTCCTCAAATTGGAATTTCACTTTGTCTTTCTTCCAACATTTCTTTAATTTCTTTTTTCTTTTCACTGCGGTGCCAGGGATTGAACCCAGGGCCTCACACATGTAAGGCAACTGCTCAAAAGCTGAGCCTTCTCCTTTGCCTTGCTTTCTCTCCTATTATTAAGACTGTATATATAATTTGCTCAAGCGGGCACCAGTAACGTCTCCATTGTGAGACTTGTTACTGTTTTTGGCATATCGAATGCACCACGGGGAGCTTGCCAGGCTCTGCTGTGCCGGCAGTATACTCTCAGTAGCTTGCCAGGCTCTCCAAGTGGGACGGAGGAATTAAACCCGGGTCAGCTGTGCGCAAGGCAAGTGCCGTACCCACTGTGCTATCGTTCCAGCCCAATTTAATTCCGTTTTCATAAAAATAGTCCTCCATTAGGCTGGAGTGCTCAAAAGGTTCAGTGTCTGCTTGCACGTGGAGGGCCCAGGGTTTAATTCCCGCTGCCACATGGTCCCCCAGGCACAGAGTCCAGAATAGCCCCTGACTCTGCTGGGTATGACCCCTCTTCCCCAACCAAAACAAAACCCACTGTAAATAATCTTTCGAGGGGCCGGGGCGATAGTGCAGCAGGTTTTCCTTGCATGCGGCCGACTTGGGTTCAATCCCCGCATCCCATGGGTTCCCCCCAAACACCATCAGGAAGAATCCCTGAGTGCAGAGCCAGGAGTAACCCCTGAGCATCACTGGGTGTGACCCCAAAAGCCACACACACAAAAAAGAATCTTTCGTGTACTTAGAAACTCTGCATTTATTTCCAGGCACCTCAATTTGAATGTGAGACCGAAGCAGCTGCCATCCTTAGTGAGAAGCGGTGTTCCCGAAGCTCTTCGAGGCGAGGTGTGGCAGCTGCTAGCCGGGTGCCACAACAACGACCACCTGGTGGAAAAATACCGGATTCTCATCACCAAGGTATGGGGACGGTAGCTCCGTTTTAGTGGAACAATCCTTTCCGCTGTTGGATGAGACCATGGTACCTCGCTGATTTGAAAGAGACCTTGATGATTCTGTTGTCCATAATAAGAGCAGAAGGGTCAGGCTCAAAGCCGTTCCTCGTGTTGGCATAAAGGAGAAAGGTGTTTGCTCTTGGTTTGCCCCCTGGGTTGACATGTCATCTTCTACCCCTGTGTGTCTAAATCCTTTTGTATTATCATTACAATATTGTTAGATCAGTTGTATTTTGCATTAGATAAAAGGTGTCTTTGGCTTGAACTTGAACCTTAAACTTTAAGATTTTTACTCTTCACAGAAATAATCTCTTTATAGGTACCATCTAGCTCTAGTTTCTGTAGTTGAAGAACGTGAAGGTTCATTCCTCTTAAAAATCGTACTCCCTTTTAACATGTTCTTTTTTTTTTCTTTCCTTTTTATTGAATCACCTTGAGAACAGTTACAAATATTTCAGGTTTAAGTCTTGGTCATACAATGTCAGACATCCGTCCTTTCACCAGTGCACACGTTCCACCACCAAGAACTCCAGTATGCCCCCCATCCCATACCTCCCCCTGCCTGTGTGGCATATGATTTTCACTTTACTCTCTTTACTCTGATTACATTCAATTTTTTGACAGAAGACCCATTATTATTATTTGGAATTTTCCCCCCAACAATCAGACCTGCCCAAAAGGCATCACTAGATAATTTGCATGTGTTGTCGCGTGGCCTCAATAGTGGCCAGGCGATTTTGGATTTCTGGTGTTTTGGTAATTAAGTCCAGAAGGATTTCTGCCAGAAGCTACTGGGTTCCAAGATTGATTTGTGTGCCTCTGAGATCATGGCCGTTGAGGAGTGGAGGAGCCGTTAGTGGGCGGCAACTCACGGTCTCTTCTGGGTGGGGAGAAGCGCCGGTTCCGCTCCCCCCATCCCTGGAGGCCCCGCATGTCTCATCACTGCAGACTCATACCTCTCTGTCCAGTAGGCTCTGAAAGATGGTGGTCATCATGCTACCGCCGAGGGGGAAAAGGAGGAGGGATAAACACCTTTCCCCTCCCCGGGCGGCATGGGGCCGTAGCTTAGTTCACAGTCCAGAAGCATTTCTGCTGGAAGCCACTGGGTTTCAAGATTGGTTTGTGTGCCTCTGGGATCATGGCCATTCAGGAGTGGAGGAGCCATTCCTGAGCCCAACTTGTTCTTTTTATGTGAAGAATTCTCATTTTTTATTGCATCTCCTCAAGTTCATGCATTCCTCCAGGTTTTGCAAGCAAAGGAACAAAAATTATTCCTTGTACAAGTGTACAGAGATGTTTGTATATCTTTGTTTTGTGTTTTGGTTTTGGTCTTATTCAGTGGTGGTCAGAATTTACTCCTGGCTCTGTGCTCCAGGGGTTATTTCTGGTGGTTCTCAGGGGACCTTAGGTGATGACTGGGATTGAACCTGGGTTTGCTGCATACAAGGCAGGTTCTCTAACCCTCTTGTTATCTTTCTGGGTCAGGTGTACAAGACCTTAATATTCTGTAAGATCAGAGAGCTGTTTTTATACTTTGGCACCCATGTTACGAGTTTTAATTTTGTAGTCTTCTAAAATTCCAAGTGTTCCCCTTCAGGAATCCATTTCTCCAGAGTTATATTAAGTGCCAGACCTGGGTGTTGGGTTGTTCTGCGCCTAGGTGAGAAGTTTCAATGTGACAAACATGGGATTTATTTTTAAATAGTAAATAAAAACTAGAAAAATAAATTTATTGTTCAAATATTTAAAATGTATATATTCCTTTTTGTCTTATTTCCATCTAGAAGTTTTTTTCTTTCAATAATGTTGTGATTCCCTTAATTTGTTGATAGAATGGCTTATCTAACGTTTATTTATTTTTCTGTCTTCCAAGTTTCAAATCCAAAACATGTGTTGGATATTTGGCAAGGGAAATTAAGCAGCACTTTTTCGTTTTTTTATTTCTCTATTGACCTGTAGAATGTTTTCTCAAGAGATGAAATTGACATTTGAAAGGAGATATCGAAAGCTGTCCTGGGCATTGTGGAACATTTGTCGAAATTCAGGCCTCTGTCCTTTATTTAATTTGGTGGTGGGAAGTGGGGGGAGGGGCGATTGAGGCCACAGTGCTCAGGAATTACTCTCGACAGGGTTTTAGAGACCATATGGGATGCTAAGGATCTAATCCTGATTGACTGAGTGCAAGCCAAGTGCCCTGTCCACTGTACTCTCTCCAGCCCCTTAACCAACATTTATTGAGTGACTGTTGCTATCATAGTACTAAGACTCAAAAGTTAAATACAAAAGCGGTAAAAGACCACAATATAGACTAGCCATATGATAGTTTGTAAAAAATATAGTGGGAATTACCACGTAGAGTGATTAACACTTATCCTGGGCAAACAGGAGAATCTGCTAATGTAAAGACATTGGAAGAATGTTTCCTTGTATGAATGGAGTGATCAAGGCTGATACCCTCATGGAAGTCATGTAACAAGTAAATGTGCACCTAGCTTATTTTTCTTTTTGGTCTGCAAGTTAGACTTTGGGTATGTTCTTTAGAGCCTCTGTAGCTCTTTAGAGTTTTTTGTAAGCCCTTTGTAAAGATTTTGGTTATAATTCTCAAATATTTTGTTTTGTTAGTCATGTAGCTAATTTAAGCACATCAAAAATATGAAGTATTCCATTTTTATGGTTCCATGAAAATGGTGACATCTTGATCTCAAATTGAAACCTTTTGTATATGATGTGTAAACTTAGCTATTAACAAAGTAGCCTATTTTTATTAGATTGTTATATTTACGGTCACGAAGATTGCTAGACTCTAAAAAGATGTTTTTGAAAGATATAGCAGTTTTTATAAAACTGAAATTAATATTCTCACAGACGCAAGTGTGACAGTCTAGGTATGTGCCCCTAAACTTCATGTACCGCTGGAGCGATAACACAGTGGATAAGCCGCCTTCCTTGCATGCAGCCAACCCTGATTTAGTCCCTAGTGCATGGGTCTCCTGTGCACTACCTGGGGGAAAAGCTCTTACTGACCCCTAACCTTCACGCTCAGTAGATGTGTGACTAGGAGGTGACTAGGTTGAAAGATAAAGCCCTCCTGATAGGGATTATTCATTTATGAAAGATTCTTCAGATTTTTTTTTTGTCTCTTTGGGTCATACCCAGAGATACTCAGGGGTTACTCCTGGCTCTGCACTTAGGAATTACTCCTGGCAGTGCTCGGGGGACCATATGGGATGCCAGGGATCGAACCCAGGTCAGCCGCATGCAAGGCAAATGCCCTACTATCGCTCCAGCCTGATTCTTCACATTTAAACTATGCAAAAGTTAGCAGTCTGGATATCTAGAACAGTAGTTTTTAAGCTTATTGCACCTTGTTTGTGCTCAGGTGGGCAGTTGAAAACCACAGACTTGGGTCCATCACCAAAACCAGTTGGGACATTTTAGCCTGTGATCTTGGTCTCCCAATTTACAGGTGTATGTATAGTATGCCTTGTTTCATATTTCTTTAGGCAATGACAGTCAGAATCACTCTTTTCCCTTTTAAGTGAAAACTTTTGCCTTGATTCAAATTTTCTAATTGCTCAGGGCTTACTCCTGGCTTTGTGCTCAGGAATTACTCTTGGAAATAGTTTGACCAGATGCAGTGAGAGGAGTCTAACCAGGTACAGCTTGCAAAGCAAGCACCTTCACCCTGCCCTGTCTCTCTGACCCTAAACTAAAACCCTTTGATTTTTCATCTCAAGAGGGGGAAAAACCTTAATAATGGTGACTTTTTTGAGCACATAGTAGGTATCAGATGGTATATAAACCCTTTAATTTTAAGAATCCTGATTGGGGGGGGCATGAATTTATTAAAGGGAATTTTTTAGTGTAGTTCCTAAGGTATTGTAATAATTTTATGTGTATTCTTATGTCTTTATCTGTAGCTAGATTTTGTATATGATATAACATAATGGTCTAATTTTTCTCTGGAATGATGAAAACGTGCTCTATTTTCCCGAGAACAACTATCATATTTGTTGTATGTTAAGTTGTTTTCATATCTGGCATTGAATTTCTAGATTTTTTTTTCCATTTGGTAATCTGTGTGCTCCCATAACGATATAGTTTGGTTTAAAGGGGCTGAAGGGGTGGGTAGATGTGACTCCTCACCACTACGCCAGCTCCAGGCCAGGACTAGCCCCTAAGCACTGCCACTGAATTGAATGTGCTTCAAAACAGACCATATCAGAGAGCCTTTCAGCTAGGTTCTGATGTCTGCTAATGCCAGTCTTCTTCACTGTCTCCGCTACACTGTTTCACGTTTCTTTTTTCACACCCCCCCACCCTTTATTTTGGTGGGGAAGGAGCCGAAGTTGTTTTCGGGGTACACCCTGCAGCTATTCCCAGATCTGAACTCGGGGGTTTCTCTTGGGAGTAGTTCTAATATGAAGGGGATGATTAGTCTAAATTGCTTAGTTAGAGGCCATATTTTAGGAAAACAGGGCATATTTACAGTTTCAGAGTTTCAGGCAATAAAATCATTCAGGATTTTTTTTTTTCTTTTTGGGTCACACCCAGCTATGCACAGAAGTTACTCCTGGCTCTGCACTCAGGAATTACTCCTGGAGGTGCTCGGGAAACCATCTGGGATGCTGGGAATCAAACCAGCATTTGGTCATGTGCAAGGCAAACACCCGATCCACTGTGCTGTCGCCCCAACCCCTATTTGTGCATTTTCAACCAGATAAGTCATGTATCATGTTCCCCAAAAAGCATGTAGTACGGCAGGTGGCCGGCCCAGACCCTATCCCTGGCACTGTATGGTCCCCTGAACTACACCAGGAGTCTTCCCTGAGTACAGAGCCAGGAGTAAGCTCCGAGCAGTTAGAAATTTGAATCACAGCAATCTGCCTTTTGTTATAAGCTAGCTTCTAGTATTTATAGTTTTTTTGTTTGGGGGTTCTGTCTGGCTCTGCTCAGAGCTAACTC